TCACAATCACTCTGGCCATTAGTTGTGTCACAATCACTCTGGCCATTAGTTGTGTCACAATCACTCGGGCCATTAGTTGTGTCACAATCACTCTGGCCATTAGTTGTGTCACAATCACTCTGGCCATTAGTTGTGTCACAATCACTCTGGCCATTAGTTGTGTCACAATCACTCTGGCCATTAGTTGTGTCACAATCACTCGGGCCATTAGTTGTGTCACAATCACTCTGGCCATTAGTTGTGTCACAATCACTCTGGCCATTAGTTGTGTCACAATCACTCTGGCCATTAGGTGTGCAACCTGCTGCAAAATAATAAAAACCCAGTTTCCGGTAGACTTCGAGTTGACCACTGAAAGGCTTTCCAAAGAACCCGACCCTCTTTGTGACAGGTCCTTCACCAAAAGACACGCCCGGTGAACTGCTACAGCAAACCTCGAAATTTTGTCTCGTATAAACAATCTCAAGCTGACTGGCACCTGAATTTCAGTACCTTGAAAAATGAAAATATAGCTCCTATTAAATGAAAACAACATAAGTCAAATATTTTAAGAGTGTGATTAACAATGAAACATTATCTTGTCATTTTTTTTTTAGGAAAAAAAGAAAACAGTCGAAGTCAAGTTTCAGAGTTAAATGTTTAAATAGATTACGGACTCGGATTCTTCAGGTATGTTTTCTAACTATCCTGACCCGGTACACGGACAAAAACTGCCCCCGGCTCAACCCTAGAATGGGCCACAGTTAAGGAATCATGGTGTGGAACATTTTCTATAATCATTTCAAAAGTGCATTATAAACAAATATTTTAATTATTTATTTTGGCCAAATACCTAGCATTTGATATTTATTTGGATATTTGAACATTCCATGAATCCTATTTATAAAGTTGATGGCGTCTCTTTGTCAAACAAGTAAAACTCCTATAGCCATCGTCACCCTTGCCACACTTGTCAGTAATAAAACGATAATTGAAGCATTCGTCCTCTTGCACCCATCATAACCATTTATTTATACAAGCTGTTCGCTATTTTTTTGTCTTGCCCGAATTCTCATGTGCAAGACTTTGCACAGTACAATGTGCGCCACTTGGCTGACGTCGAGCAACACGATCAACACTAGGACTGTCAACAAAAAGACTACCCCAATAAAGGCGTTAGATGGAGAGGTCCCACGCTTATCTGCGGCGCTTGTCTTCCTCCTCACGAAATAAGCGGTCTCTCTGTTGGGCACGGTGAGTTCTTTCACCAGCTGCTTCACGGCTCGCTGCACGGCCGCTTCAGACGTATTCATTGTCCGAGAAGTCGTCAGTGAGGAGCATGGGCACAGCATGCCCCTGTGGTCGCTCTTCACGCAAGAACTTTTGTCTGCAGCCAGCGTAAACCCGTGGGGACAAGAGCAGTAGAACGAGCCTGGGGTGTTATGGCAGAAACCCTGGCACCTAGTAAATATCTCTTCGGGTGTGTGTGCTTCGTTGTTGGAACTCGTTGTACTCAAACGCATATCGGCACAAATCTTCGAGCAGTTTTGATCATCAGGACATGCGCAGTTGTGGACGTCACTGGAGATGATAGATGGATGCGGCCCTGACAGGCATTCGTCGATGTCGTCACAGGTGTGCTTGTCGGCCGCAAGTTGAAACCCTGGGTGACAGTCACAGGTGTACGAACCCAGTGTTTCCTTGCAGATTTGAGCACACGCGTGTTGGCCGCTTGTGCATTCATCGACGTGATGACACGTGGTGTTATCTCCGGCAAGTGTGTAACTTGACCAGCACATGCATTTATACGAGCCATCTGTGTTGACACACTCGTGTTCACATAACTCCCTGTCCTCTAAACACTCATTAATATCCACGCACGTGTTGTCCTGCGACTGACTGTAGCCGGACATGCACTCACATTTAAAAGACCCTTGCGTGTTGACGCACGCCTGGCGTGGGTCCGTACAGGGATTATGTGGCGTCACGCACTCATCAATATCCACGCAAGAGTGACCGTTCCGAGACAGCGTGTATCCGCTCCTGCAAGAACATTCGTATTTGTTGACCGTCTCTCTGCAGTCCTGGGAGCAGTTGGCTGTTTGGCATCGGTTTGCATGTTTACACAGCACAAAATAAGGTCTCAAACTAAAACTTTCCGACGGTATTCGTATCAGTTGAAAATGAGTATAGTTCCATTCCATAAACGAGAGGCAGTCAGCGAGGCAGTCAGCGAGGCAGTCAGCGAGGCAGTCTTTTGCGCATTCGTAGTAGAGATAGATTGTTCCTTGAAAACTCTCATTTTTCCACGAATAACAAGCACTGCTCTGTAATGGCCTAGCCAAAACGATGATGTTAATCAATATGATGCTGGACACAATGTAGTGACTACTGAAATAGGAGGCTAAATAGCCGTCAACGGCATTGTATTCTTGCTGAGTCTCAAACAGAGCAAACTGTTGTTTTTTGGCCGAACATTCTGCGATATCCCCGGAGATGTTGTGGGACCCGTTCATCAGAGTGTACCACTGGTTGCTGATTTGAAACGTTAAATGTTCTAACGAAGAGTTGGGTGTTGGCCAGATACCTGTTGAAAAGAAATTTCGTATTCTGTAAGATCCAACCCAGACACTCAACGCGAATTTCACGATGCGCTACCTAAATTTTTTTTTACAAAACAAGTTAGTTTCTTCGTCCTCGTGATAAAATAAATGTGTGGGCCTGCGTTTCAGCCAAATAAATAAATTGTAATATTAAAATATGTATTGAAAGTTACGCCTACAACAGGTAACGAAACAAATAAATTCTCACCTGAAATCAAGCTGGGTAAAAAGATCAACAGACTTTCCAAATGCATTCTTGAATTCCGTATTTAAAAAAATTCCAAACAAAGTAAAATTGTTGATTTAAAAAAATATCCTTCTTTATCTCACCGTAAGCCTACTTAAGTGACAAAGTAAAAGTCCAATTACAAAATTATTAATTTGAGTTATTTCTTTTTCAATTTATTTATAGTAGTTGACGAATTTTTAACATTTACATTAAACATTTTTTTCAAAGCAAACTAAAAAAAGAAAAGGCCTCGTGCAATCAGTGTTAACATTATCAATAAACCAGTTAAAAGGTTCCACGTTGCCAGACCGGCCGTGTCCACAAATCGTGTGCTGACCACTATTTATAATGTATATTGTGTTTTGTGGTGTTTTGTGACGCGACAAAGAGAACCAGTTGAAATTGATCACTTTCCCAGGGCCACTGATAAGACGACGGCTTTCACTTTAAGAGGAAAACAATCGAACGTCTCTGAACACGATTTGACAAACTGTAGAGTGGTTCTCGACCTGGGCGGTACCAACCCCAGTAGGGGAGTTTGGATAGCTCGGGGGGGGGGGAGGACGCTGAAAGGCTTTGGAGCTTTTATGGGACGCTAGAACGCCCAATCGTATATGTTAAAGAATAATAACTTACTTTTTGAAGGCCGGAATCAAATTAGACTGCATGTTTTGTAAATAACTTAAAGTTTTCACATATTATTATATCCTGAAGAGATAGAGTCCATTGATCTAACTTTCAAACAGAAACACCAGCACGACCATTAGATACAAGGTTGTGTGTGTGCTTCGTTGCAATGTTGTGTGTATGTGTGCTTCATTGCAAGGTTGTGTGTGTGTGTGCTTCGTTGCAAGGTTGTGTGTGTGCTTCGTTGCAAGGTTGTGTGTGTGTGTGTGCTTCGTTGCACGGGTGTGTGTGTGTGCTTCGTTGCAGGGTTGTGTGTGTGGTGTGGTCTAGGGGGGTTGGTGTGGCCTGAGTGGGGTTGGTGTGGCCTGAGGGGGGTTGGTGTGGCCTGAGTGGGGTTGGTGTGATCCGAGGGGGCCGCGGTGTGTTCTTGAGGAGGCAGTAATGTATGTACAGAAGTGTACACCTGTGAGGCAGTNGTTGCAAGGTTGTGTGTGTGTGCTTCGTTTCAAGGCTGTGGGTGTGCTTCGTTGCAAGGTTGTGTGTGTGTGCTTCGTTTCAAGGCTGTGGGTGTGCTTCGTTGCAAGGTTGTGTGTGTGTGCTTCGTTGCAAGGTTGTGTGTGTGTGCTTCGTTGCAAGGTTGTGTGTGTGTGCTTGGTTGTAAGGTTGTGTGTGTGTGCTTCGTTGCAAGGTTGTTTGTGTGTGCATGGTTGCAAGGTTGTGTGTGTGTGCTTGGTTGCAAGGTTGTGTGTGTGTGCTTCGTTGCAAGGTTGTGTGTATGTGCTTCGTTGCAAGGTTGTGTGTGTGTGCTTCGTTGCAAGGTGCTGTGGGCTAACAACTGGTTTATTCAAAAGGATTTTTTCAAGTCGTGGTGAAGTGTATCAAGTATGTTTTGCAAAGCCTCTCACCAAAACTCCGTGTTCTTGCCCGGATGATAAGTTTGCATTGTTGATTGCTAAATCTAGAGAATCACATACAGCAGATCTTTAATTCCAAAACTATTCTTTACTCTGCACCCCATGCGAATTATTTGACTTGTCTCGCACCCCCAATGAACTATTGGACTAGCCTCACCCCCTATGAATTATTTGACTTGTCTCGCACCCCCAATGAACTATTGGACTAGCCTCACCCCCTATGAATTATTTGACTAGTACGTACCCCCAATGAACTATTGTACTAGCCCCACCCCCTATGAATTATTTGACTTGTCTCGCACCCCCAAAGAACTATTGGACTAGCCTCACCCCCTATGAATTATTTGACTAGTACGCAAAAAAAAACAAAAAAAAAAAAAAACACAAAAACCCCCCCTAAAAACAAAAATATTCAGACAAACTTATTGAGTTTGGAATTAAAGAAGATTTCACTGAAGGTACAACATAAAAATAATTTAATTAGAAAAATGAAATCTGCCATGGACTGAAATTGTTCCATGTGTGATCATTATGGCGCTATGGCGTCATATGTTTAATACCCGGTAGGTATAAAAGGTAGTTATGTCTGCGTCTGATCTTGTAGTGCGCCGTGAATCAGAAACATTTGTATCATAGATAGAAGATGATGTTTTTTTTTTAGTGATGATACATTATGTCTGTTATGATTTATTTGGCAGGGTAGGTATTGTCAGCAAAACGATGCAGGACCTGTGGAACTATTTCTGATTATCGTGAAAATTGCTTTGGAAATGCACTAGAGTCAGCAAAAAAAATAGCTTCAGAATTAGATGTAAATAACATTTTTATAAATAAAAGAATAAGGAATAGAAGGAGAATGTTTGAATATGAGTGCACTGTCGAGGTTCCAAATGCAGATAACTCCGAAAAAAGCACGTGCTCAATGTAATAATGGACAGTGCTAAGGGCACTACATTTATTTTTTTTTTTAAATCAGAGAGATTTGAACATGACAGTTGCAAAAACACATGGGGAATTTTAAATAAACAAACAAATCTGCCGAATAAAGATAAGCTCAAAATAGCATGTCAAGGTTTGGAGAATGTGTTAAGATATCAAGAAAATATCAATATAAATAGATGTCATCTGTTAAACAAATTAGATACAGCCAAAGAATCATTTTGTAGAGCTTCCAAATAGAAGCTGCTAAATTCATCCCCATGAATAGGTTACTCGATTTCAAGCTAATTCTATGGGTTGCATAAAAATTGTGCTTACAATACTTATTAATGTAGCCGTAGCCTCTGGCGAGAGAGCATTTTAACGATCATCCATGTCTCAAGACAGTATGAATTCTTTGGCAAATTTGCCTGTAGAAAATGATATTGCAAAGACTATAAATATAGAAAGTGCAATTAAAAGTTTTGCTGATCTGAAGGCTACTTTATGGACGGGTCCTAAAAAAAATAATGCTATTTTTTGCTTTTTCATTGGTAGCCTATCTTAAAATTTTAGTTTAAAAAATGTTCATGCCATTAATTATCTCTATTAATTAAAACAATGAAAATCTATTTTTAATATGTTTCCTTACCCTATTTAAAATGCGTTTTTTCATCATATCATGGAAAGGGTCTCTACTTGAATTACTTCTATATAAATGTAGCTTTGAATTGAAAAGGCTCTGTGTACCGGAGCTCTATTGAGCTTAATAATTCAGTGCAGTTAATAAGTAGATTTTGCAGGTTCTGGTTTCTAGAGACAATTTGTGACATTCTGTGCCTAGATTAAATAATTTTTTTTTTTAAAGCCCAGAAAAATGTATTCTAAGTTGTACTCAGGATGGGATCATTTCCAGCCAAAAATCGTGCGTAAGTTACACCGCAAAAAGGGGAGGTACTCTTAAGAAAAATCGTATAATCCATTATTTGTGAAAAATTGTGATGTTATGTGCCTTTGTAACGCAAAGCAAGTTAATCAAAGTTTAGTTTAGCTTTTAATATTACATGGCAGGGCTTACTTATTTTAAACATGAGTATAGTAACAGCAATAAAGACAGTTTTATAGAAAACATAAAAATATTTAACGGCTCAACAATGGGTAATATGTATAATGTATTTAATTAATTTCATAGGCCATAGGACTACGTGGATTTTTTGGATTTGACCGGAAGCTATTTATTTATTGACACCTGAAGTTTCATATTGACTGTGATCAAACAGTTCTGTTAAAGTTAAAGAAATGAGTGTTATTGCTTGTGAACAACAAACGCAACTTTAAGTGTCATTGTTGAAATAATATATTTATTAAAAGAATGGCATCATTTATTGGTAATTTGTTTAGAATTAGAAAGGTTACAAAACTTTTACTTTTGTCAAAAGTAAAAAAAAATTTAGATTAAGAAAGTAGACTTAATGGACTTAAATTAGTAGAGTAGGCCTACACTAAAATTGTAAAAATTTTACTTTCAGAACATACAAACAGTTCAGTTCAATTATTAAACCTAGATTTAGTACCATCCCCTTTCCTGATGTAATTTCAACCGGTACATTTAATTTAAGGCAAATGTAGCAACTTTATATTATTGAATTGTATTACTATAATTTCAAATAGTCTAAATTTGCGTCAAGAAGTGTCTTCATCATATAGTTGCCCCCTTCCTGACCTAATTTCAGACAGTAATTTAATTTCATGGCAAATATATCAACTTTATTGCATCCCTATAGAAATACTACAAGAATAGTCAATGACATGACCTGGACCTGGGGTCCCTTCCCCCAAGTATCAATAAATCACATGTGCTACAACTACTACAATAACACACTGTGGTGAAGAAAAGCATAAAAATTAAGAAAAAAAAAACAAACAAAACATTTCATTATTTTAAATATATTCAATGTAATAAGAACCTTACAGTTTCATCAAAGACACTATTACACAATTTATTACAGGTTTCCAGTAAAGTCAAAATCCATTAATCATTTATTATAAAAATTATCAGACTTCTGCTATCAGCCTCACTTTCAAAATTAATTAACTTCACTTTTACATATTAATTAAAAATGGCGTCAATTAAAATATTTCCTCTCCATTAACTATTCACGACTAAACAAGGGGAGTGATCACTCATACACAGAAACTCGGGTAGTAACAGATTCCCTAAATCCCCACTGACTGTGGTCTAACCTGGATGGGGATTTTATTTAGCAATTACAAAGCATTGTGGACCGGACATTCTGGGAATCAGTGATTCCCTTATCTGCCACGGGCGGAGGATGTGATGTGAGATCAGCCAATATTTATGTGTACGGTGTAGTTTAACATGACAAACTCAAAATTAAAGTTTAAATGCCAATAGGAAAATAAAAATAACCTATAACTATAGGGGCCTATTAAATATGTAAATATTTTAAATCTGTTGAATTTTTAATAACTTTTGACTAATTGATTTTTATAAATCTTTACCATCTGCAAAAATACATTTTTTCTTTAACCCACGAACTGTGGCATGTATCATTCTGTGGTGTGGAGCTTTTTAGAACGTTTTGAGTGCCATTTGACATTGCATTAAATGATATAGAAATATTGATACAAGACCCCTGTAAGTATATATTTTTAGAAAGGTAAATGGATGGGGATCAAGTTGACCATATTGCCCACCCCGTAAAAAAATTTTGCTCCGTGTCCTTGACCTTGGAGTTCTCAAGAAAAAAAAATCTATCAAATGTCTTGCTTTCAAGTGCTCATAACATCATTAATTTTTACAGATAGGGCCTACACTTAAAACACAATACAAATGTTGTAGCCAATTCATTTATCTTTAAGAAAATGTATAGTTTGCTAAGGTTTTGATTGCAATTAAACCTCTGAAAGCAATATTAGTAGTTTTAGGTCATTTATATAAGAAACTGGGACCATTGCTAAAACCAACTACAAAATCTCAGGCAAAATAGTTATTATTGACTAGTAAACATTTAAAGAGGAACTGTGGAATTGATTTGGGTTGTTTAACTATAAAATTTATTCTGAACTATAATTATAATCTGTAGCTTCTGTGACTAAAATTCAGTCGGTCCTTGCCCAACCTCCGGGCCTGGCTCGTAGTCTAACAGTAGCCTTAGTAGGCCTACTTCAGAATCACTAAGACTAGTTTAAAATTCACGAGAAGAATAATCTCAACTGATATCGTCATGGGGAATATTAAAATCATCATCAGTATCACTTAAAACCTCTCCTAAAAAGCTTTCAAACATATTTCTATTAGTTCTTGCACTGAAGGCCCAGCCATGGCTTCAACCATTTTAGCGTTAAAAAAATAAGCGATATATAACTCCGATTAAAAAGTATTTAATTTCAAGTTATCACGAAACAGCTTGAACCTGAAGATGATTTAATTATTTATAAAAGGACGTGGCTATAATTCCGATTAAATATTGGATTGGAAGTTGCTATCGGACCGTGTCTTTTATTAGCCGATTTTTTTCGGCCGACAACAGTTGGTGGGTTAAAGTTTAAACTTAAGTTCAATAAACTTTAGTAGTTAAAATGATATATTTTCAACTTTTCTGTCACTTTCTTAAAGCTGGTTCTCTTTAGGTTTCATTGAGGCAAGGGATATATATATAATGTCCTCAAGGGATACAGGCATTAGTTCAGATGGTACAGATTCTGAGGAGAGTCGAACAGTTGAAATTGAAAAAGAGACAAATGAAAAGTCTGGAAAGAAATTGGAGGATCTTCTGAAAAATGAAGTTTACAATTCTGATATGTTATGGAGTCTTTTTGTTGCAGCTGCTAAAAGTTATAGATTTAGCTCTATTCTCTATCCATTTCCCCCAATGTATATATCTGACATGGACATTGAAGAAAGGAAAAACATTTTTGCTTTGGTAAATACATTTCTAGTAATCAGCTCTTATGTAATATACCATAAATCTTGAAAATAATTTTTTTACCTCTAGTTACAAGTGTCTGTTTAACAAGTTTAATCTAAAATTAAAATAGGTATTTTTCTTTTAAAAACGGCTCTTCATCTGTTGTCCTTTCAGAATTTCTTCTTAATGAGTATGAGTGAATGAATTTTGTAATTTCAGAAAGATGCCATTTCAAGAGTTCCTAAGTTTTCATCAAGTCCTAGTGTTGTATCAACCCTTTCAAAAGATTGTCTGGAACTGCTATCATGGGTGTTACTCACAAAAAAATTTTCCTTAAAGCTTTGTGAAAAAGACAGCTGTGTAAGTGAAGAACAAATTTAAATCACTGATCGATCTTTCACTAAGTAAATTTTTTTACATCTTTTTTTTTTTTAAAGTAGAAAAGAACATTTATTCAACCTCTTATGAAAATGTGTGGCAAAAATTTTACAAAGAGTAAGATTCCTTATTATTTGTTGACATTTCAATATCAGTAAGGCCTTGTTAAAAGGTAGCTTTTATTCTGCAAATTAATTTTAAGACTTCACAAAAAGTATTTAGATCTAGGTACTTAATATCACCATCTTGTTAATTGTAAATTTTAAATATTCCTTGTCGCGAGTTCTTGTTGATTTTATGAATTAAAGTTTATAAATTATAAACGTTATATTCAGTTAATGTGTGTATTTAACTTTAACAGTTTAAAACTATAAAAGAGCTCACTGGGCAAGTTATGAACACACCAGAACCTGCCTACATCTTTGAAGTTGTCCCTAGTGCAGAAAGGGAGAGAAAGTTCAAGGAATTAACAGGCTCAAAAAAGACCTTTTACGCATACCATGGAAGTCGTTTGGATAATTTCTTCTCGATTCTTCACAATGGGCTAAATACACATCTAAACAAAGTACATAGGTTATTTAATTTTAGTTTACCCTTTTATCTGAAAATCATATGCACTGAATGTTATCAAAAAAAATATAATTTTTTAAACAGAAAATTAATTTTTTCTGTGGCCTTTTATCCTATACCCAGTACAATAAAAAAGCCTAGCAGATATTAATTTGATAAGTAGTTTTCCTGTTTTATATAGGAAAATATATTTTAAAAATGCCTGTTTTAATTATTATCTGCAATTTTCTTATTTTTATACTTAAAGTTTAAGTTGTATTTTTCAATATAATCAGGTATCAGTATTTGGAGAAGGTACCTATTTATCCAGTGAACTCTCCGTATCGCTTATTTACAGTCCAACTGGAGAAGGCTGGAGAAACAGCTGTCTTGGAGTAAAGCTGTCATGTGTGGCTGTATGTCAAATGATTGATGACCCAAGTGTTAAATGCCAAATAAAAGAAGGTCAGATAAACTTATGAAGTAAGGGCTATACCATTTAGTATTCACTAACAAATTCAACAAACAATTCATAATGTTATTCAAAAAGATTTTCAAAAGTGAATTAAATGCCTATTATTTACACACACATAAGGTTGAAATGAAAAATAGGACTTGCAAAAGATAGATGATAGTTTCTCTAAAAATAATACTTGAAAAACAATTTCATTGTGCTTTCAGAAGAATAATGTTTTGTTTTAAAATTATTTTAAAATTCAGCACTACATAACAAAGCTCAGCAAATATGTTGTTCGTCCTTCGCATGTGAATATGACCAAGGCTATATTCAACGATGAGTGCGCAGGTGGCTAGCATCTCCAATTTGTGCTTGGAAAGCTTTGCTGCACATAAGACACACATGTTTTGAGTCGCTTGTCCTTGCAGTGCACTTCCTTTGGGCATGAGCTGTGTGTTTTCTCTATGAAGATTGTTCTCCAACCTCAAGTTTGCCTCATCAACTTGTATGATTCATAGCATTTCCCATGAATTCAGGTTGATGTCCATAGATTTGAGTGAGGCTTTTAACAGTCCTTCAAGTATTTTTTTTTCCCATCAGCTGAGCGCTTCCCTTTGGAGAGTTCACCCAACATTAGTTGTTTAGGTAGTCTGCCGTCTGACATTTTCGAAACATGCCCGGCCTATTTACAGTCTTTTTTTGTAGGAACATTTGAAAGTCAGCCTGTTGTAAGACTTCTGTATCAGGGACTTTGTCCTGCTATCTTAATCTTTGCCAAAAGGTTTGCATAGTCTGTGTAGGTGGAGATGGTTTTGTTGTGTAGCATGTCTGCTTTACACCGTCACGACTTGCTAACATGTAGGAGAGTTGTTAATAACATTGCCCTATATACTTTCAGCTGAGTGACACGAATAAGACCACTTCGCTCCCAGACACTCTTGTGGAGCCTTCCAAATGCAACATTTGCTATGGAAATTTGGTTGCTGATCTCATTATCTATTGTAACTGACAAGGAAAGGGTCATGGCCAAATATGTGAATTTTCCCACTGCTTCAACTTCAAGATTACTGTCCCTTCTTTGATATGTTAGGTTCTTTGTAAGCTTTTCCCTGGAGCTAGCTTGTGCATGATCTGCTTTTTTTTTATATTGATTGTGGGCTTTAGTTTTAATCAAGTATTTGCTGCATCTTATAGGAAGGCTGTCATTATTGTCAAGAAAAGCCTCAGTCAGCATAGCTGAGAATACCATGCTAAAAAGTGTTGGGGCTAAAACACAGCCTTGTTTTTTGGCATTGGTTTCAAGAAAAGCCACAGATTCATCTCCAGAATCCATCACGGAGTTGACGTTCTATTGTAATAAATCTACTTGGGCACCCAAACTTCCATAGGCCTTCTCTGTTGACATAGTCATATGCCTTGGTCAGATCAACAAAGGGGATGAACAGGCCATTTTGTTGCTCTTGACATTTTTCCTGGAGCTGGTGTGCAGCAACTATCATGTCAGCTGTGCTCCATTCTGTATGGAATCCACATTAGCTTTTAGGAAGTAGTTCCTGTTCAAGTTGTAGTTGTAGACGATTAAGTAGGACTCTGGCCAAGATCTTTCCAGCTATGGAAAGGAGAGAAATGCCTTGATAGTTGTCAAAGGTTTGGTAACTGCCCTTTCTCTTGTACATGCATATTATAATTGCATCCTTGCATTGCTGATTAGTACCATCTTCCATATCTACTCATATAGCTCTGTCAGTCTTTTTGTCAGGACAGGATCTCCTGCTTTGTAGATTTCAAACGGTTAAATTTATTGCAAATTAAATTATTTTTATCTCCACATCAGCCTTTTTGGCCACATCGGCCATGGTTCTATAAAAACCTTTATCATATCATGTATAAATATAAAAGTGAATGTTTGTGGGTGGGTTTGTTCCACAAAGGCTTTTAAATGGATTGATGGACCTTGACCAATCTTGGCACATATATCCATCATGATCCAGAAGGAACTCTTAAGGGCTTATGAACTTTTTATAACATTTCGTTTGGGGCCGGGGGCCCCCGAATTAATTTTTTTCCTCATATCCGCTATATAAATAAAATTAACAACAAATAATCCTACATGAATGGATGGATCTCGACCAAACTTAGTACACATACACTTGATTATCCATATTCAAATACCGAAGGGTACTGAACTCATAATATCATTTCTTCTAGGGCCGGGGGCCCCATTTTATTTTTCCTTATATTGCCTTGATAAATTTCAATAGGCTTAATACTCCTACATGAATAGATGGATCTTGACCAAACTTAGTACACATACACTTGATTATCCATATTCAAATACCGAAGGGTACTGTACTTAAATAAGCTATATAAATATCAATAGGCTTAAACAGCACATTAGGTTCTATGTGAATTGATGAATCTATGCCTAGCTTGGTTGCAATACCCTTCATTGTCCATATTGAAAAGTCGGTGGATTTAAAACTAAGAATATTCGTTCTTGAATTTTCCAGAAAGTTCAATCATTTTAAAAAGCAATATCTATTGCATTTTAAGTAGATTTTAATGGGACACATTTTAATTTTTAACTCTATTATTTATCCGTCTGATATTTAAAGGGCCCCCTATCTCAGGCAAAGCTAAATCAGTACATTTATGGGATGGGCCCCCCGGGGCCCCATGATTAACTTTAAAGGATTATAATTATGGTATTTGTTGAAGATTTTTATCGCAGTCAAAAAAATAATTAGAAAAGTAGTTTTACACATGTTTCAAGCAGGTTATTAAATTTAATCTAGAATGTTCCAGAAGGTTCTAAATTGTTCCACGGGGATATATAGTGGAATCTAAGGGATAATGAAATTTTAGTTAGTTCTATTCATCGCTATACTGTCCCAGAGTTTTTTTTTCTCTCAGTAACACTGAGTAAGTTTTTTTATACGGGATCCCATCATAATCTTTATCCCAAAGGGATCAGGATCCCACCAGAAAACGAGATCCCACCTGGATCGGGATCTCAACCTTGAATGGATCCACCGGGATTGGGATAAAACCGGGAAGCGGGACTTCGCCGGGATCAGTGTCAGAACGGGATTAGGGTTCCAATGGGATCGGGGTCACACAAGGATGGGTCCTAATGCAAACCTGTGCAACGCGGGGTATATTGGCTAGTAACCTATAATACAGCAATTTTGCAAAACATTGATTTTTATGATATTTAATTGATAATAGAATGACCCATATGTAAGCCATGAGGTAATATTTTTGTTATGCTAATTTAGACTGTGTTAATAAGCTTTGCATTTTTTATTTTTAGATTATAATTATGTAAAGTTTATGGATGATTGATGTTCAGCTTTTATTTTATTAACATTGATTGCCTGTAAATAATCTTATATGACTGATGTCTTATAAATAACTTATATGGTCTTTTAACAATAGGGAGCAGAGAAGTAGATATGCATTTTAAAATATTTCTTTCCCTATTTGTTAATAGTAATTTTACTTTTGTTAGGAAGTGCCGCACAGCAGAAGCAAAGAGCTCAAGCTTCAAGAGTAACAGATGCAGTCCCTGAAAAATACTACGTTGTACAAAACAATGACGTTGTAAGAGTTAAATATTTATTGGTTTACAGAGAGGAAACACCACAACCTGAGTGAGTCAAACTCAAAATAAAATACATAAAATAGTTGATCTAATAAGATGAAGTTTTTACTCAAGTAAATATACAGTTTATTTTTCACAAAATTAAAGAGAATAAAACGCTTTACAAATCTGAGTTATATTAAAGATTATAAGTATAAGTGAAATAAGGAAAATAGTTTCAACTAATCTAACATGAATTAACTGACAATAATTATTTTACTGTGACTCCAAATCTTTAGTAATAGGATATTATACAAATTTATATATTTATTTTTTTTGTCAATCGTTGAAAAGATCGAAACGTATGTTGTGTTTTTTTAAACAATCTGTCCACAGCCCCACGACAAGACAATCTGCATATTCGTGGTGGAGAGAATACAAATTTCCCTTATTGATGCTGGCTTATTTTGTCTTTCTAGCGGCAATAGGATTAGCCAACTCAAGACAAGCTGTCAACACATTGACTCGTTTTTATAAATCTCTAAAGTTTTCATAATCTTCAGATCAGTTTTGGATTATCACCAATATTTTCAACGGAGAAAATTTTAAATATCAGTGCCAACATTGAAAAATGTTAAATATTAATTATTTCTCTCCACAATTTATTTAGTAAAGTAAGAAAAATTAACCTTCTGGCATGTGCATTATTTATTTATAAATACAATATTTTGATAATTTTCAAAATGAGTAAGTTGGGGTTGTTGCCACTGTTTATCATGCAAAAAATTTGACCATTGGCCAGCGACATAGATTTCTCCCTAGGTTGTACAATTGGTCTTGTACAATCTCTTACTACTTTTTTTGTATGCTTTCAATTTATTGATTTGTATAGTACATCACTTAACAGACAACTCTACCATTCAAGAGAATACTTGCCATGTTTGCAGGGCCTATAATTCATGAAGGTTTTGAATGAAATTACTACTTCTCAAATGCACTCTGTTTGAAGTTTGATTCTTGTTCCATTTTGTTGTCTCTGTCTTTTCAACAACAAAAAAATCATTGTCATTAGTATCTTCTTCATAATCATTATCATCCTCAATTTACTTTCCACTGTTGATTTTCAACTGCATCTTTCTGTGTCAAGCTCATCTTTAAAATCTGCTTATACTACTTTATCTTCATAAAGTATTCTTTCAATTTCCTCTATATCCTTGAGATTTGTAAGATCTAACATTTTCTTACCACCCTCCATGTTAGACAGCAGAAGCAACCTGAAATGAAATAAGGATCAGTATAAATATCTTGTTTGGTCGCAATGTATCAATTTAATATTTATCTACTATTTAAAAACACACATACATTATTTAAAATTAAATTAATATATAAGTATACACATATAAATATGAAAAAAGCAACTTACCAGAGCAAGAATATAATACAACTGTCAAGCTTCAAAAAGTAATGAGCAAATGTGTGGTGTATGCATTTGAACAAAACTGCCAAAAAATGCACTCAAATGGCATGTACTGCACAATTAATGGTCTTGGCTTATAAAGGAATGGAAATATTAAGCTACTGATAGGTAGAGCGCGCTGTAATCTCTCATTAAAATGTGCAAAACAAAAATGGTTTGTAGTGTATCAATATGATTAGTAGATGCGTCCGCCGGTAGGTTAAACTATTAAAAATCTATAATAATGACTTTTAAAAAAACGACTTTCTTATCCATTTTGTAAAGAAGTTAATTCATAAATTTTATGATTTTGTTATTGTTGCTGTTCTATGCATCCAATTAGCTTTGGGTATAATTTACTTAAAAGTTTTTGATTTTATTGCATTTTTTTGGTTTCATTATACATCATCTCAACTATATTTAATAAGTAATTTGAATAATCCATGCTAAATTAGAATTCTTGCTAACGATCTATGCCTTAAACTTAAAGAGACAGTTAAAAAGTGATAAGACATATTTTGAGATGTTGATCACAAGTTTTGTTTAGGTCAGCTGTCATTTACAATTATTTTGTTTATTTTAGTGTTTAGGTAACTTGATTACTTATGATTTCTTACTCATCAGTAATAATCTTATTTTTAAGCATTGACCTTAAAACTTAAAATCAAATTTGAGCCTTGGTAGTTAAATAAGGGGCCATCCATATAGTACTTATACACTGAGGGGGAAGGGGTGTGTGTTGATTTTAGAGGGTGGGGGGTCCTCTGCAGCAAATGTGTACATCATGTATTCAATAATTGTAAACTGAAATTCTGATAGTCCACAAATATCCCTTTTTATGTCCAATGCTAAAAAAAATTGTTAGTGTTGCTTTGTGTATTCACAAGTGAACTAGCTAGATATCACATTAGTAACCATAATATTAAGTCCAGTGACTTAACTACAAGAATGGCCCCTGACTTTGTTTACCGTCACCAGAAAAAAACAGGCATTTGAAGAAAAAAAAATTTTAAATCACCAAATACATGTTTCATATCACCATAGGTGAAGTCTACTACTAACAAAAAATATTGCTTAATTGTTATTTTCAACTTTTTTTTTAGTTTTGAAGATGGCATTTTGATTTTAAGATTCCATTATTATATAATTATGCATCTGCAAAAACCTTTGTAATATTTGATATTAGATCCTTTACACACCCTCAATTTTTTTTAATTCACAGTATTACAAATGACAAGATCAAGAATTCCATTTTATGTTATTTGATTTTGAACTTTTAAACAATAATGCTGCTGACTTGAAATGAAAAAATAAAATTCCTACACATTATATTTCAAGGAGTCTCATTAAGGATGTAATGTAGTAATGAAATCAAATGTAAATTGTGCACAGAGCTAAAATTGTACAGATAAAACTTTCTCTGTGCAGGCTTTCAACAGCTGTTTAAAAACAATCTTTCATTTAAAGCTAATGTCATAGGACTCTTAAGTGTTTCAAGACATTTGAATATTATGTTTGTAATATTTTATAACTAAAATGTATTTTTTCTACTGGATGGCAAGCACAGCTCTAATTTGCTGGACTATATGCTCACTTTGTTTATATTTAACACTGAATCATCTCAGGTTAATGTACCCACAGTCATAATACATTCAGTAATAAAAATATATCTCTAAACAAGCTGTGCTATTCAAAACAGTGATAAATATAATATATATATATATTATGATATATATATTATATGTTAAGCCTCAATATAGAATAGAATAAAAATATACATCTTTTATGAGGGAAAAGCATTCTATTATTTCTATGCAACTGTTCATATATGCAAATTTTCTTAATTTCTGAATTGGTTCAAAATAAATACATTTCTATATTGCTTGGCGTTACACTTATGTGTGAACTGACTGAACTATAAAAGAGGAGACAAAAATTAATGTGAAAAAATTTCAGTCCCCTGTAAGATTGAAAACTGTATCATCAAAGGATAGAACAGTAATGATAATCCAACTGGAGTTTTACAGACTTATTCATTGGTACAAGTCATGCATTTTGAATTAATAGTATCTTGTTGATCTAACATCTTTACTCATTTCTACATATATATTTAAATGCTTATTGTATCCCTGAAAAAACTTTACATCACACAATTAATTAAACATGCCATTAAAAACAAACTAGATTTTTGATATATCATGTATATTTATTTTATTTTAATTACAAGCTGATGAAAAAAAGTTTTCAAATTCTAAATTCTTCTAAAAATTTGCATATATATCCTTAGACACTTGGTGCCATACGAAAGTCATACGTTGGAAAATTTTATATAAAAATTTTAGACTTTTCCATCTCAATTGGCTTATTAAGTACCTTTTTAACTAATATGAACATTTAAAAGCAAAAGAAAAAAAAAAGAAGATATCTTTGTTAAAATAATCTCAACTTATTTAAATAATCATGACTTATTTAAATGAATTTTAAAATTTTATTTTGATCTGTAAATCCACAATTCATTAGAGGCTAAATTATTGTGTACAAGTATAAGAATTACTGTAGTGTTCCACGCTCTCCTTTCCAGAGCTCCTTTAATTCAACTTTGCAGCCTAAATCCCGAAGAGCAGCCTTAGCCTCGTCATGTGCTTCCTCATGACGATTCATTGCTTCATTCAGCAATATTTCTGCTCCAAGAGTCAAAATATTGTCTTTTAAATCTTTGGTTCTTGAGACCAAATTCCTCAATGCCATGCACGCATTTTTCTGCATGAAATAATGCAAGATAATTTCATTACCACTTACAGCTTTGATTAATACAAGTACAGTGGAACGCGATATAACGCGATGATCGGGGTCCATAAAATCGGATCGCGTTAAAAGTGGGGTTGCGTTAATGCGTGGTTTTACAATATTTAAATTTTTTCCGAGAACATTTTCGACCATATTTTGAAAAGTTGTGATTTTTTTCGCTTTAAAAAATGGCTTTCCAAGCAATGGATACAATTTTCAAAGAACTCAGGCCTGATGGAGTAAATGAATTTCAAATTTCGGGAGCCATGCTACGACCGGGTTGTATCCGAATTCGCGTTATTGCGGGGCGTGTTATAGCTGGGTTCCACTGTTTCATTTTGTACATGGTATGGAACAATTTATTAAAATGTTCTAAGGTTTTTACACTAGAACAAAGTCAGAGAAAACAACCTCTATGAATGATTGTAAATTAGGAACCGCCTGTATTTGTTATTTTAATACTTTTAAGTACTTGTAGATGTTTAAGATAAAATATTTATACCAATCCCATAAATGACTACATTTATAAAATACTGATACACATGTAGATAAGATTAATTAAAAATGAAATTCTCATATACATATATTATATTTATATATATATGTATCCATATATTAGGAGTCATCCATATAGACATATCCATGGTAACATCACTTGTTTAGGGAAGGAGGCGTCAGGAATTTGTGACGAAGTGGGATTAAAGTAAAGTGTAGTATCTATTTTGTGTAACATATTTTTTGAGAGGTGAATTGAAAGGGAGGGGTTAAAAATCTTGATATAAAATAGTGTGACATTATTTTTGGTCCTTTTAAATGTTTTGCATCCATGTGACAAAGTTAGTTTGGATATCCCCTTGCAAAATTATGGCGCCCTAAGTTAAAGTCTAACAAATATACTTTGAAATACATTTTTTTTTAAACTCAAGGGTTGGGTAAAATAAAACATGTAATTGGTCACTGTGAGGAAGAGAATGCCACAAATTCCCAGGGCAATTTGGCACGCATTTTGAGAACCACTGGGCCTGCTACGCCAGTAAGCAGAGAAAACCTGGGACACATTTTTTTATACTGTGACATAATAATTGTCTATAAATAAATTGATTTTTTTTTTTTTTAGGTGGTGAAGGTGTGTGTGTCGAAAACTTATTTGTACATACACAAAAAATGTATTTGTGCAGCAATGGTGTGGGGGGGTTACGTTCTTTATGAATGGCCCCTTTATAAAACAATTTAAAAATGAACAGCTCTAGAATTTAAACAACTTAACTACCTGTACACCAACATCATTGGGATGCAGTTTCATCGCCTGGACAATATGCTGATGACCTTGAAATTCCACAACTTTATGACAGTTTTCTGTGTTACGTAATGTGATGGCTGTCAATACTTTGCAAGCAGCCTCTGCTATGGAAGGATTTGATTGATGTGTTATCATGGCCATGACGACCAGCTCCACACCTCCTAATTTGGCTATTTCATATTTGACCTCATCATTGCCTGCCAAAGCTTTAAGTACAATTAATGCCTGACGTACTATAGCCTGAAAAAAAAAAAGTTAGGGGACACATTGACATTATTTACAATCTCAGAAAACAATATTTAAAAAAATTATTTTGTTTTGCGTGTTAACAAAGATTCATGATTTCAGCGCTTCATAATATTTTTGTAACATGTACTATGAATTAAAGAACCCATGTAATAAAATTTTATTTTTTTAAAAATTCTTGAAAATGCAAATTGGAAATTAAGTCCCCTTTCCTTTCTGTAATAACTTGTTCCCATCTAAATTCTTTCAGTTTCAGTAAAACATCTGAAATATTCTAATAACTTTTGGAAATTAATTAGGTTGCTCTGTTGTCATACAAGTTTTATGGTAATTTCAAAAACAAAACTATAGTGATTAAGAAGGAAATGTCAAATAATTTAATGAAAGCACATGCCATAGTCTAAGTCATAAAACATTTGAAAGTAAGTTAAATAGCTTCTAAAGTTACGACTCTATTATTTTTTTACTCATTATGTTACCTTATCTTTGAGGGCACTCTTGAAAGCATTTATAATAAAGTGGACTCCACCCCTGTCCATAACCTCCTGACAAAACTCATCTCGTACAGCAAGACATCCTAATGTTAAAAAGAGCTCAGCCAGCACAGGTGGGTTGTTTATGTGCTCTAGAAATAGTTTTTTAAATTATATTTCAATACATACTTCAGGCTTTGAGTAATTTTAAAATCATTTTTTTTTTTTTAATGAACAAAAGTTTTCTAGTAGTCATAAGTTCTTGAGCAAAAGGTTTACAAAGTTTATTGTTTGTAAAAGAGCAAATTTATTGAAAAACACATGTACAGAAGATCTTAAAAATGATTCTTATTTAAAGTAATGTGTTAGACAGTCATTTATGACACATCTATAAAATAGACTATATTTATAAATATATATTCATTTAATTTTCTATAATACAGGTTAAAAACCTATTATATTTAACTCAATTTTAATTATACATGGCCTTATATATTCAAATTAACACTCATTTCAATATACCTTCACATAACTGTAAAATGGCTTTAAATGCTGCACCATCAGTAACAATAGTCTTTGCATTTTCATGAGCACTACCAAAAGGTACCCGTACATCATCATCCATGGTCAGGGATCTAAGACAGATGGCCACCTCTTTGATAAGCATAGCTTCTGTTTTATGAAGTGTTAAAAGTTCAGAGAGTAGAATGATGAGATCTAATTCTATGAATGCTTTTCTATTGCCTTCATGTTTGACACAGTTCAGTCTCACAGCTCTAACAACTGCCTCCAGAAGGTTAGGACTGGTCTTAAATTGTTTTAAAAAGTTTATCAGTAGCTCTATACCATCCTGATCTATCAAATCTGGCTGCCCATTTACAAGAGAGCAAAAGGATGCTAAGACATGAATAAGATTCTCTGAATCATCCTTATATGAGTGTAATGCCTTCAGTAACACTGCATAAGCTCCATTGGAGCCTGCAAGACATCTTCGAGCTAGATCACCATCACATTCTTTTTGAAATATGGCTAAATTATCTAAAATGCCTTCACGCTGGTCTGGATTATTGTTCAGTAGGGCAGATATTTCTTTCAACGAAGAGACAACCGGATGGTCTTTAGTTTCTCCATCCCCACTGGCGTATAATGATGAGTCTTTCACAATAATATTTAAGTTGACACCCTAAAAAAATTAAATTATAACAAATAGACACAAATTATATATTAAAGATTGATTAATGCATTTCTACTCCCAAAAGAAACATATTTATTATACTCGGCATCTGACACTGTCATCAGGTTACTTAAGAAACTATTGTTTTTATTTGCTATGTCCTAATTTTTAAGTTCTAACACATATAAATTATAAGGAAACAATCATTTGCATGGCTTTGCAAGCAAGTATTACATCAAAATAACAAATAAATATGCATTATGAAACTTACTTGAGATTCAAACTGTTTTATAGCATCTTGAAGTGCCTCCTCAGGTTCCATGTCAAATTCAGACATATTTTCTAGAACTACATCATCAAATGTCTTCTGGCTAATTTGCTTTTCCATTTTTTATGCTCCGCTCTGATTTGAAACACAGTTATTAAAAATGGGGGATTAAAATGGTTTATAAAATCCTGTCAGTGGTCATTTTAAGTACTTTTTGATAATAACGTGATGAAACTAAAGTGCCACACAAAAGATAAATAAATAAACAAACTTAAGTGATGTTGCTAATTTGTATGGTTATGAAATTGCTTCATATATGTACAGCTTTGGCTATAGTTTGGGTTAAAAAAATAAATATTGACCAATGTATTCAAATACATAAAATTGCAGCAAGGGCTGTATTTCCCTAGATGATAAGTAGGCTTACACATAGGGCCTCTAAAGTCTAAGGGGCCTCAAAATTTAAGAATACACATTTTTTAAATTCACACGCTCAAAAAATGCTTTTGAAAATATACAATTTAAAATAAAATCTTGTCAATACTGAATCACAAATGATTTAAATAATATATAATAATGCACACTGTGGTGATATGAAAAAAAAAAAACATTGGAAAAAAAAAATGTGCAAGGTTAATTCCATGCACTGCTCACTCATTAAATTTAATCAGCCAATTGTTGTTGATTGCAATCTTGAAGTTGGTGCAGTGAACTGTTTTGGTATTAAAATTAAAAATGACAATTATAATTTCCTTTCATCATCCATCATGAGATTGGCAGTTTTAAATAAAGATGGTTAATGAGAACCAGTTTTCAGGTTAGAAACCGATAACTTGTTTTGATTTATTCCAGATTTAAATAATAAAAAATGTATAATAAACCAAATGTAAATGTATTCTTATTATTAGATCTACATTAAAAAAATAATTTAAAAAAAATAAAGTAATAAATGTGCTGTATAATTTCATAAAATTGTTAAGCTACTCAATAATACTTCATGTATCTGACCATACAATTGCTTTATTGATAAGATAAAATTCTTTTATTGATACAAAACAATTTTTGAAATCTTAAATAGAAAAATTTTAACAATTTAATGTATGAAAATACAAGAGTTTGAGATTATGCATAATTCTTCCACAAGGTAATGAAGTTTCTAAAAATATCATGAAAACGGTTGCGGAATATGAACTCATGCAAATAGGAAGGGAAAAGATCGCGGCTTGTGCCAAATGTCTTTTCAGTTTGCGCACATCCACTTGTTTTCAACATTGTGTGTGAACACCAGCATTTTTGGATCAACAAAATTATGTTGATGGACCACAACTGAGTATTTATAGATTCTGTGTCTGATCTGGTTTACGTTTGCATAAGCCGGCCATCCGTCTGATACAATAAGGATATAACTCTCTATGCACTCCTGTAACATGATCGCACGTCTGTCTGGCACTTCAATGAGAAAACAGCACCCACTCTCTCTTTCTATGTAACTGAAAACCCAGCCAAGCTCTTTGGACTATACTATTAAGGGACATCAATAAAACTATAATTGTTTAAATAGCAATTGAAACAGGAACAACAGTATTTTTTCATAACCAATGCTGAAGTGGAAGATTTCCCTTATTAATCAATGGCAATGGACACTAGAGTCTAGACTTAGTTTAGTCTAAGTCACTTAATTAATTAACTTTACTTTAAATACTACAATTTTGGTAATCTTGCAGTTCAGGTGCGTACATTATTTCTGATCAAATTTCGTATTATCGCATGTAAACTTACGTTTATTCTTTATAAAATTTAGTCCAGACAGTATTAGTTAACACTAACACTAAATTTAACAGCACTAACTTGTCTTTTTATTGATTTTTACAACCCCATTGGTACGTAGCCGGTAGCGTAAACGATCTCTCCATTTTCTTGTTGTTTTTTTTTACATTTTTCACCCTACATGCCAGACTGCAATTTTCCATTTCACAGTTTTTTTACAGGCCCCATAATTTAGATGTTAGCCAAAAGGCTTTTAAAGATGTTCATTTCCAAATGCCATCATGAGCGACGCTGAGTATATTGGCTAGTTTTAGGAAAAATTAAAATTATGAGTTCATTACCCTTCAGTACCGGTTTTTGAATATGTATAATCAAGTGTATGTGTACTAAGTTTGATCTTGTTCCATTCACCCACGCCCATGTAGGAGCCTTTATTCGGAATTATATTTATAAACCCCATATAAAAAAAAAAGAATTTTGGGCCCCTATAACATAACAGAACATCAAATTAAGTTCACCCCCAACCCCTTTTTTTTGTATTTCATTCTTTTTGTGAACATGCCTACAATTTGAAAATTTTGTTTAGCATAGCAACTTATATGTGATCAAAAATCTGGCAACAGGGTGAAAAAACAAAACAAATGGAGCTATGGAAGGTGGGGATGTTCAAAGACAATTTACAAGAAAGGGGAGCATTCCGACCCTGCCAACTATCGTCCGTTATCCCTCACCAGCGTGGTCTGCAAACTGTTAGAGCACATAATTGTAAGCACAGTCATGAAGCATCTTGAAAGCCAAAATATACTCAATGACTGTCAACATGGCTTCCGAATCAATAGATCATGTGAGACCCAGCTCCTCGAAGACCTGTAGAAGACCTGATGATAAATCTGGAGAACCACAAGCAGACTGACGTCCTGGTAATGGACTTCGCAAAGGCATTTGACTGTGTGAATCATAGTTTGCTTCTACACAAACTCCAGAGATATGGGATCCAAGGCACCACTAAAACATGGATCTCTAGCTTCCTCAGCCACCGATGCCAAGCAGTAGTGGTGGACGGTACAAGCTCCTCCTTTGTCGATGTGAAGTCAGGGGTCCCCCAGGGATCAGTCCTGGGCCCCTGTTTGTTCCTAGCATACATTAATGACCTACCGGAGAAACTGACATCACAGGCAAGACTGTTTGCAGATGACACAGCAGTGTATAGGACGATCGCCAACAGATCTGACCAGGACCAGCTACAACAGGATCTCAATCTGTTAGCTGAGTGGGAGATGAGCTGGGACATGGAATTTCACCCTGCCAAGTGCCAGACACTATCAGTCTCTAGAAGTTGTACTCCTCTACACTACCAATACGAACTGCACGGCCATATACTTGAGCCAGTTTCCTCCGTTAAAGTACCTGGGTGTTACCATTCAAAAAGAGGTCCGCTGGGACGAGCATATTATCAATGTATGTAACCAAGCAAACAAGACCCTAGGGTTCTTAAGGCGAAATCTAAAGATTGGCAACTCCTGGTTGAAAGAAAGAGCATATAAAGCCTTTGTACGTCCAATTTTAGATTATGCATCTTCAGTCTGGGACCCATTTACCCAGAAGAGCATTGACAGGTTGGAGGCGGTCCAGCGACGAGCAGCACGCTAAAGGAATACCTCTAGTGTTTGCAGCATGCTGGAAACACTAGGCTGGTCACCATTGGAGAAACGACGACGACAATCCAGGCTCTCCATGATGTACAAGATAAATAATGGGCTGGTCCACTTGCCTCAAGCCTTCAAACCTCTAGTGCATGATTCCCTCACAAAGTGGCACTGGAAATCAGTGAAATTTCCTCATCAACACCAGGGGCAGGAACAGAAACATTGCAAATCCATCTACATGCATAGGAGCCAAAATGATCAAAAAATTGATTGTGGGCCCTTAAGATATAGAAGAAGAAGAAAATAAAATGAAAATAATCACTGTATAATTCAGTATTATAGTTAACTAGCTTTGCCTGGATTAAATTTAATGAATAGGGCCTACATGACTATGACAATAATGACATGTAGTAGGTAAGTTTACATGGGATAATACGAAATTCGATCAGAAATAATAATAATATAAATATACTATATACGCACCTGAACTGCAAGATTACATCAATTTTAATAATACTAATACTTATTAAATTAGTGACTTATAATTATAAAAGAATTAGTATTGTAAATTAATTAATAAGTGCCAATAACTCAAATAATAATTAATAAGACACTTATTAAGAGGTCAATCAATAAGTGGAATTGAATAATAAATTATACTTATACTATTTTGGGTATACCGTATTTTATTTTAATTCTAAAAAAATAACTAAATTAGATCGTTATCATGCAGTACTGTCAAAATTAATTTACACTTGCCGTTAAGTTATTGGTGTCTAAACTGTGCCACTGTTTCATACGGCAAACATTCAATGTTTTCTCCCCCGTGGTATTGGTATTCGCAGACAGTACTTGTTCCGTTGTTGCCCGGTGTCAACAAATACCTTCCAACGGTGTAGTTTTAAAAACGAAGTGGCTGCGTACACCGCGGCGAGACGGGGGTACCTAGCAAAACCATGAACCTAGGCCTGCGTACATCGCGGCCAAATATTACCATTGGGCTGGGCTATACGGTGTAGTTTTAAAAACTAGTTAGTTTTAACAGGAGTATAACATTAATTGTAAACAAGTACCGGTTGACCAGTGTTAAAGACTGGCTAAGATTATGCGGCCAGTGGTGTTGCTAGGTACACCACACCGCGGTGTATGTAGTGCCAGTCTTTTAAAAATACAGATTGCTAACTTATAATTTTTTTCTTGCATTTGTCCCCCTTGTTGACTCTCCAGAGAGAAAAGATTTTAAAAAATCATCGTTTGCATAGGCCTAAAAATAATATCCTGCTGGGAATGTTTTTTTAGCTTTTACCTAATTATGTTATGAGTTAGGTTTAGGGTCCTAGGTCCACACGGCTAAATAGGAGTTCAGGAAGCAAACATTTTTTAATGTTCCTCTATAGTCTATAGTAATAGTATTAATTTAATTCTATAAACAAGAAATGGCACCGTATTTTGTTGACTAGCCCTTGTGTACACTTTTACTTTAGACTTTAGTATTTTTTTCCCCACTTAAATTGATTATGATTATTAATTCATTATGGCTGGCTAAATAAAAAAAAAATGGGAGTTACTGGTCTGTGGTCACTGCTGAAACCAGTGAAAACAAATGCATTATTAACAGACTGCAAGGGAAAGAAATTAGCTGTTGACCTTAGTGCGTGGATCGTTCAGTGTTCAACATCAGGTCCAGGGGGATCAACAGAAGCTTTTATCAAACTTTTATGCTGCAGGTAATGTTTTTTGTACTTCAATTATCCAATGTTAATAATTTGTAGGTTTAAATTTCCAATTGATTAGGCTCCTACCTAAGTATAGATAATAGGCCTGCTTATTATATAATAAACCAGAGCATCCCACATTTTTTTGTTTGTGTGTAGCTGTGCTCATTTAATTTATACTTTATACACCCCCCTAACCCCTTTTTAACCCACTAAAATCTCTGGCCATTTTATTTTCAAGGGTGGACATTTCAAAATAAAAATAAATTTAAACCATTGTTCTGAAATAAACAAATAACTAGGCCTTCACAAGACTAAAATAATTTTTACTTTCTTATTAGTTTACACACTAATTAGACATTTAAACATTAGGGGCCTACTTCTTAGAGAAAGCTGTTTTTGACCAAAGTTCTTTGTTTCTTAAGAGGTAACTATAAATTTGAGTGTCATACAATATTCTTAAAATTGTATTGAGTATTGTATGAGTATTTTCACCTTTACCGACTCCACATCAAGTCCATTCAGCTTCTTGATTCACTAAGAGTTTATCAGTGAAAAAAACCAAAAACCTTCCATGTTTCTTTTATAGGGCCATCCATAAATTATGTCTCATAAATTTTGCAGATTGTTTACCCCCACCCATTGTTACAAATTATCTAAAAAGTTCACGACTGTCCTTTACAAACCCTTAAAATAATGCATTACTGCATCTGTGTCACAAAAATTTCCCTACAACAGTGGTTCCTAACCAGAGGTGAATGCCCCCACTGTGGTGTGGAAGACCCTGAAAATTGTATTTCCTGCCATTGCTAGTTGTTGCTGCCTTAAAAAAAATCAATTTCATTAGCAGCAGTATACATTTTTCTGGTGAATTTTGTTTGGGCATTACTTGTATATTTTTTTCTTTCTGTTTCTAGAAAGTTAATTAAGATATAATAATTAAGAATGATAATTAAGAAATAAAACTGATTATTAATTATATTCATTAAAAATTTTTTTTAACTATATACATTTTCTGGGAAGTGTGGGGTTTGTGGGAAATGTTTTGAAATTGAGAGGGGATGCTGCAGTGCAAAAAGGTTAAGAATCCCTTTCCTAGAACATTTACTAATAAGAATTTTAGTCTTTAAAAAACATAGATCATTATTTACCCATGAAATTTTTCAGAGGCATCTTCTTCAAAGCTTTGAAACTTCTGTCATGTGGAATCTCTCTTGTTTGCATTTTGGATGGACCAGTACCTCCTTCTGTGAAAAAGAGTGTTAAGAGTAGAGAAAACTTTTATAAATACACATTGGAGGTAACATAAGCACATCCAAGTTTTATTTATTTCATTCTCTACAATAAGCCAACTTTTATATTCAGTTTACATTAGTTTAGTTGAAAAGTTTCTTTGTCAGTATATCTTAAATTTGGATATATTTTGTCAATATAAAGAATTTGATTTTCCAGATTCTCTGGCAGTATTTAAAATATTTAAAGTAAAGGCAGATTAAAGCTAAAAATGACATACAAATGCTTTAATTTGTTCAAGAATTTTTTAATAAAGGATTAATATATATATTGGTGAATTTAAACCAGGAGCCAGAATGATCAACACATTGATCGTGAGCCCCTCAAATATAAGAAGACGAAGGGTATCTGAATGTTTTTCATGACTTTTGCTGAATACTTTTGATTGAAATTACTGTTCTTAGACAATCCCTTAGTTATTTTCTTTTAGTATTGACCTATATTTTCTTTTTAAGAACATTTTATTTTCTTGATCAACATCTTCTTGATCAGATTATTCTGCACTGTGTGATGTCTGATATTTTGAAGACTGACACCAATCTCTGCTCTGGAGATTAAAAAAAACAACATGTCTTTAATTTGTCTTCACCAGCTGAAAATATCACTTGAAAAGTGTGATTTTGCATAAATATTGAGCCTTTGTTTCTTGGATGATACAGAGTACTGGCACATATAATTTCATATTGTTTTACTCTACTATACTTTTTAATCTTTCAAGAATGTTCATTTTCCTATCTGCCACATTTTGCTTCCTGATATCACAAAAAGATACTTATATGAGTGCATGCCACATTTCAGTCATTGACTTATTTCATGTTCTTATATAGAACCAGTCATCCCTGATATTATGATGGATGAGCTTACTCAAAGCTCTACAACTTTATTCACACCGGTACCAGAATACATATGTGTTTTCAACATCTTCTACAAATATATATATCTATATATGTTCAGAAAATATCTGCAGTTAATGTTGTAACATGGTCTTTGGTTCAATTAAGAAAATGGACTTCTATATATAGATGTTTTATAATCCAGCAGCACAAAGTTTTTAATATTTTGTCTACTCTAACAATCTTTAGTCTTAGACATGTAAGGAAAAAGATGGACAATGTCTTGCCCTACACTTTCATTTCTAGGACATTGGCTCATAAACCTAATTACCTGTTCTTAAAAATAATGATAGCAAACTGCTTAAATACTTTACCTTATTCATTTTAATAAAATAATTTATGCTTTTTTCAGTTGAAGGAGTTGTTACTTGCCATTGGTATACCTGTTATAGAAAGTAACGGTGAGGCAGAGAAGTTGTGTGCCTGGCTGGATTTTAATGAAGTAAATATCTAATAATGCAGATTTAAAAAAGATCAGAACTTAACTTTTTTTTTTTTTTTAAACTGTGAAATAATTTCCAATGACTTAAAAAATATTTTTTTATATTAACTTTTAATAAACATTTTACAAAAATTGCAGTTTTAAAAAAAAATGATTTTAAATGGTATATTTATAGAGACAGTCATTCTTTTAATTCCTGAAAGCATCCGGAATTAAATGTTTGATAAAGTAAACAAAAGTAAAGCATGCTGTAACCAAAAAAATTTCAGTGCCACAGCAATTACCTTTTTACAGTTACGGTACTTACTTTAAGTGATCCATGTTGAGGGCAAATTGATTTCAGGTTGTGGATGGTGTCTTATCTGTTGATGGGGATGCTCTCATTTATGGTGCTAAGACAGTTTACAAAGGAACTTTGACTAATAAAGTGAGGCCTGTTTTAAAAAGTGTTTTTATTTTAAAAAAAAAGATAATGATCTTTTTAGAAGAGCTAAAATTGATCTGAGGGCTAATGAGAAAAATAACATTACTCCCTTATTCTAGAAGATAAGATAAGATACGATTCTTTTACTGATCCAAATAAATGGAAATGTGTTTTGATTACGTTCTGCATATTCAATTCTCGCATATAAATAAATTCATATTTTAACCAAGGCAACATTTTACAATTATAAAAATTTAAACACAAGACATCTAAAGTGTTTCTCTTGTGTAGAAATCAGCCATCACTGAACTCCCTTAGAGCCAATAATGGTTTGATTAGTGATCATTTAGATTTGGTCACCACTGGGGGAGCAAGCTGATAAATTCGTTCAGACTTGGCAACAAAAGAAATTTATATCTTTCTGTCCTTACTTTAAGAGAAAAAATTCACCCCGATCGAGCTGATGATTAAGAGGGTGGGAAGTTGTTGTTTTTTTTTCAGTACTTAGCCTACCGTAGCCATACATTAGACAAATATTTATTACATAAAGTTTTTTTCTCAGGAACAGTCAGCAGAAAAATATGAAATGGCTAAAGTTACTTCAGTCCTGGGACTGACTCGGAGAGACTTGATAGCATTTGCATTACTTAGCAAAGGAGACTATTGTGATGGGGTGCCCAACGTTGGTGAGATGAAATTTATGGAATTAATGAAAGAGTTTAAACAGAACAGCATAGAGGATGCTCTGTTTAGGTGCTTTACTCACATCATTTATTTTCATTTTTATTCTATTAATTTGTTAAAATGTATCTGATTTAAATATAATATACTAGGGCTTAACCGGGGGTGCAGTTTTTTTAAAACAGGGTCTGGGTATTTGGACAAAATAACCTTTGGGTCCAAGTGTTAAAAAAAAGACTTCTCATTTTGTATACTTTATGCCTGCCTTAAAACAATAGGCCTACAGATAGTCCTACACCACACCTGCCGACCTTTAAACAATAGTCCCACACACAGTCCTACACCTGAGCTTCGACCTTTAAATAATGGGCCTACCAACAGTCCTACCTGCCGGCCTTAAAACAATAAGCCTACAGACAGTCCTACACCATAGCTGTGTCTTTTTTTAGGTTAATATTGTCCCCCTAAAGAAAAAAACTGTTTATATGAGTTAACCGTCACACGTGAAGGGGGAAGCAAAATGTACCGGTACATCAGAGATCGTCTATAATTCCTATCAAACAAAAATAATTATTTTTCTTCGATGTTAGATGAGAAGTATTTAATAATACTGACATGTTGTTCATAAATTATATTATTTCTCTAGAGTGCCCCCAATATTTTAAATATTTAGTAATACCTTTTTTTTTTAATTCAATGAGCCATTCTGGCATGTAACATTAAGATTTTAAAACAAAATTGGGATAAAGGTCAATTAAACATTTCAATGAGACGCTTATGAATCAATTGCTTACATTTGTATATCACCAACTCTATTTTTAAAAAAAACAGAAATTCAATATTTAAATTCCAAACATATTAATTACTTTTTTTTTTTTTTTACTACAAACAGTCCTTAAAAACTTAAATGTTTGTTTCTGTTTCTGCACACAAATGCAAATGAGTCATAGCTTTCATTGAGGCTAACACCTTGCTCATAAAATCTTGTGCAGAATGCAGTCATGGAAGAACAACACTGCATTAGACGCATTAGAAAGTAAGCAGAAGTCCTTGAAGGATTTTAAAATTAGTCATTGCAGCCAATGTCACCACCAAGGTAGGTGTGGATTTCTGGTGTTTTCCCCAGGAATTAAATAAATCAGTGTTCTAACATTACAAGGTGTTGATTAAAAATAAGTTGTTGTTTTTTTTTAAAGTAATATAATCCTTTTTGCTTTAAAGATGCCTAATATAATCCCATATAATGCTGCAAAATATATGGTAAAAATAGGGCTCAACATTTTTATTTTATAGTAAATATTTATTTTATTGTTATTTTATTATTAATAATGTTATTGCACATGGACAGTAACATTGACTTTTTTAAAACAATTAGTTGAGGGGCTTGTGTTATATGTGGATCATGTTATACGCGGGATTGTTTAGAAGGGGACTTTAAAATAAAACATTATGAAACAAAAAAAAACTTTATGAATGTTTATAAACCCAATAACTCCCTTAAAAACAGTGTGGCATTCTCAAAATCGGACGAGTTTGTTTCATTTGAAATGTGCAAAATGCAACTTAATTACGGTGAACAAGTGATGATGTTTCTGTGCATATACAGGCCACCTCCAAATAAGCAAAATAAGTTGAAGATATGTCTGTTTACTGTGGAGTTTATACAACTCCTTGACATGTATGCCACCAGCAACAACAATGTCATCATAATCGGTGACATAAACTGCCATTTTGACTCCACCACCGACAGCTACGTGAAGACCCTAAAATCAGCTCTCGACACACACGGAATGACTCAGCTTGTCAGTGTCCCGACACAGAAGCGAGGTTACATCCTAGATTGGCTTGTTGTCAGAGAGGACCGGGCAGCTATGATCCAAAACCTCATTATTGAGGACAAACTTATTTCTGATCACTTCCCAGTCGTCTTCGACTTTGACTTGAGGAAGCCAGGACGCCTTCTGCGATCAGTAACATCCCGTGACCTCCGACAGATAGATCTAGCGGCCTTTAAATGTAACGTCGCAGCCCTTGAGTGCGGTATAGATGACGATGCTACAGACTACAACAGTGGCCTCAGAGTCATTTTAGACAAACATGCACCACTGTCCACACGGCGCGTTACGGACCGCCCTTCCGCCCCATGGCCCACGCCCGAAATTAAGGACGCTAAGCAGAAGCAGCGACGTGTAGAACGCCAATGGCGGAAGTCGGGCTTGACTGTGCACCGACAAATCTTTGTTGACCACAGGGAACGAACCAAGAGGTTGGTCCTTGCAGCTAGGACTGAGTATGTTAGTCATCAGATTACAGGCAGCAGCTCAAGCAAGGACTTATTTCGCATTGTGGGTCAGCTGACCGGTAAAAACAAGGCTACATCTCTGCCAAATAACATTGCTGTAGAAGAGCTGCCAGACGCTCTAAATGACTACTTTATTACAAAAGTTAAGAGGATCAGAGCGAAACTTGACAGTTGCATCGATATTGCTCCAGAATTCTCAATATTCAACGGTTCTTCTATGGCTGAATTTGTTGAGGTCAGTGAATCGAATGTGAGGAAAATCCTCGCTGATACCCCAAGAAAGTCATGTTCGCTTGACCCTCTTCCAGCAGGGCTCTTGTATGAATGTCTGGATGAAATAGTCCCCATCATCACTTATATCATAAATCAGTCCTTAGCTACTGGTATTGTTCCATCATCTTTTAAAGAGGCGATCGTCACTCCACTATTAAAGAAATCAAATCTTGACCCAAATGTGATGGAAAATTATCGCCCCATCTCAAATCTACCATTTATTTCTAAAATCTTAGAAAAAGTCGTTCTCCTCCAACTCCTGGATCACCTCACTCAGTTTGACTTGTTTGAACCATTCCAGTCAGCATACAGGGCGCATCACTCTACTGAGACAGCCCTGTTGCGCGTCGTAAACGACCTTTTGTCGTCTTGTGATGAGGGCCAGGTATTGATTTTGTCTTTACTCGATTTATCGGCAGCTTTCGATACGCTCGACCACGGCATACTGCTTCAGCGTCTGCAACAAACGTTCGGTCTCACTGATACCGTCCTGTGTTGGTTCCGATCGTATCTGACTAATCGGGTCCAGTCAGTTATTTCAAACGGCTTGACCTTGAAGAAATCTAATATCGAATTCGGAGTACCCCAGGGCTCGGTCCTAGGCCCGGTGCTTTTCACGATGTACATTCAGCCCCTGGGTGCAGAGATCAGACAGTTTGACATGTTGTATCACATGTTCGCGGACGATACACAACTTCATCAATCCATGATCCCTTCTCAGTTCCCTCAGCTGCTCAGTATGACACAGAAGACAATGGAGTCAGTTAAGCACTGGATGACCATAAACAAGCTCAAATTAAATGATGATTTATAAGACTGAGCTGCTCCCCATCGCGACCACTCAGAAGCAAAAATCTGCAAATAACACGACATCCATTACTCTCAGGTGTGCGTATTGAGTTAACTCAAACAGTGTGGTACCTGGGTGTCTACCTAGATAGAAGACTAACTTTTGAAAGTCATATTAACATGCTATGCAAGGCGATTTTTCTAGAGCTGCGCAGGATTAGTCACATCAGGCCCTTCCTAACAAGTGATGCAACAAAGAGGCTAATGTCTGCATTTGTGCTATCACGCATGGACTATTGCAATGCTCTCATGGTGGGTCTTCCAGCTACGCTCCTGGATAAAATTCAAAGAGCACAGAATAATGCGGCTCGCATTGTTCTCCGCAAACGCAAGTTTGACCATGCAAAAACACTTCTGAGAGAGCTGCACTGGCTGCCGGTGCGTGCTCGCATAGAGTACAAAATCGCAACTTTGTGCTACCGCTGCTTACATGGCCTGGCGCCGTCCTATCTGAAAGAGCTGCTGACGCCTTATGTACCCACTAGAGAGCTCCGCTCATCCGATAGTGGCAAACTCTCAACACCACGTGTTTGCCTTGAGACTTACAGAAAGCGCACTTTGGCATTTGCTGGTCCAACAATTTGGAACGCCCTTCCTGTCGATCTAAGAAACAACCAGACACTGGAGTCCTTTAAAACCGATTTAAAGACACATCTATTTCGCAAACACCTTCTGGGATGATTGTCTACCTTATTTTCCATTTAATGCATAATGGCTGTGTTGCTTATGGTTGAAATGGCTAGAAAGACTTTGCCATTGTATGCTTGTAATTAGTAGTGTTGCATTTATTTTAAATGTGGTAAATTATAGAATTGTTTTTTGTTGACTTTGTACCGCGCTTCGAGCCTTTGGGGATGAAGCATGTTTTGAAATGAAATTTATTATTATTATTATTATTATTACATTCTAAGGGACCAAACAAGCTCATGTCAAGTCTGGCTGTGTGGCTTGTCAAACAGTTCAAGCTTGTACTTCAACCCCAAAAGATGCTGTCTCTCAACAGCATGGTCCTGTATGCCCATGTCATTGGCATTGCTTGGAGCAAGAAACCAGACCATACGGCAGTGAGCTTAAGATACGGGCCATGGCCTTGGCCAGTGATCCAGGCTTTCCAGACAATCTCGTAAGACTTATACTGCAGTGTTGGGGGGAAACAAAGACCTGTCAAAAATGTGTCTTTAAAAGTAAAACTGTTTTAATACAACTTGCTGATGTTGGTCAACCCATTGGCCTGTAGATTTGAGTTTCAGACATACTTATAGAGGTTTCAATAAAGCAGGTCCACTTTCAAAACAAAAAAAAAAAGAGAAGATTGCGCTTGTTGTTAAAATGGTAATAATCTGTAGCACTCAAGCACATGAATGTTATAAATTGTAATTTGTATTCCATAGCTCTAAAAAAAAGTTGTTGTAAATGCACTATATTGTATATATTATATATTCATAGATGCATATATAAACCTATATACAGGTATTTGTGTGTGCGAATATATATTAATCCTTTTAACTATTCCATTGTTTCCCCTATTTTCTTAGATTGTGAAAGAATTCCTTGAGCATGACAACCTCCCCGGGGACCTCAAGACAGACATTCTCACTCCAGACTTCCGTAAAATTCATCAGATATTTCATAACAGTTTAAATTATACATTCGAGAAGACCATGTCATTTCTAATTCCCACCTATATTAAAATGGCATTGCATGGGTTAGTGCCTATGTCTTATGTGTCATATGCAGAGCCCTTAAGGTAAGCAGGATATGGAGGATGAATTTAACCTCTGACACACTTGTAGGATTTAAAAGATACAAAAGTTCCTTTGATTTAAAAAGTTTTAGATAAATTGACTAAACTGAATTTTTTTTAATGCTTGATTATTTCAACCAGCCATTTTGCATTTATATCAAAATTAAATATTTCTGTATTGAAACAGTAACAATTAACACTAACTAATGAAGCAGAACATTTGAAACATTTAAATTTACTGACAGAAATTGGAGCTTTCATTGTTGTTTTTGATGATCCTTGCTTTTATTTGTAAAGCATTCTGAAGGTTCACACTCTTGAAGCCAAGAAATGTTTCATGGTCAGTTGGGTTATAAAAGAAAATGAAAGGCAAGGTGGGTAATAACTTAAACAATCTTTTGTTATGAAATTGGATCAGAACAAAAATTTTCACAATGCATTTTTTTTTTTTTGGATGAATGTTTTATATAGGAAAGGAAATATTGGAACAAGGTATGTGAAAGCTTGAAATATAAAGACGGGATATGAAAGAAGAAACATTTTTCTCACAATGCACTTTTTTTTGGTGAATAGTTCTTTTATATAGGAAAGGAAAAAGTGGAACAAGGTATGTGAAAGCTTGAAATATAAAGACAGGACATGAAAAAAGAAAGTTTCTTAATTTGTCCTGTCTGCTGAGGAAGGCTCTTAGCAGAAACATTCTTCTTTTATTGTCCTGTCTTTATATTTTAAGCTTCCAGGCACCTTGTTCAACTATTTCCTTCACACAGCTTGAATGTTTATTATCCTTTATGTAGTAACTGGTGCACTGAGCAATTCCAAAAAGATTGTCAGAAACTTTTGTTATTTTATTTTTTTAACAACTGTGACAAGTCTTTTTTTTCTTTACCTAGATTTGGGTGAGAGTTTCACTCCTGGCACATGCTTTGAAATATCTGTACCCATTGGTCTGTTTACATCCAATTTTCCTGAAATGTCTGCAAAATTCAATGGTAATTCATCTTTTATAAAATTTAGTTATTCATGCACCAGCCTTCCTTTTATTTTGCAGACATGATAATAAACACAGGTAATAAAAACTAATGACTCTTCAATTCTAAAGACAAATAATAATATATAAAGAGCTTGTTTCCAAAACGGGGTTTCAACCATTTTCGAAAAAAAAAAAAATTTGTGTATAGAAAACCAGGTTCCTTTAGGACAAGGTGAAGTTTATTTACAAAACACATTATATTCCTATTTTATTCTTGTCTAAAAATGATTAAATTCTTTTAACGCAGTATGTACTTTTTTTGTAAAAAGTTAAATAATCTCAAAAATGGATATAAAGCATTTTGAAAATCAGCTCTTCATATATAACTGATGTTTCTTGATTATTATTACAAAAAATTGTATCTTAACATTTTTTAAATGGGGGTTTATTCATTAACATGCTTAATATTTTACATTTTAATTCATTTTGAAAAGCGAAGCTACAAGTTTGTGTACTTCATTTCGATACATGAACTGCTGTTGATACTTCTTGCAAACCTATGAGCTCATATCTACTTCAGTGCAAGAAAAAAATGCTTACTATATCTAACTTAGTTCTAACACACCCAACCATAATATATTTACAGCTGTCAATACTAAAAGAAAGGCAGTTCGAGAAGGACAGAGGCAGCAAAAGATGACTTCATTTTTCAAAGTCATGAAAAGGGATCGAACTTGAAGTAGGTGTTACCATGCACAAAAGAGAATTGTCATCCAGCTGCTGATGGCCAGGAATGTTGCTCTCAACAGAATCACTCACTGGAAGAAGTCGATTGTCATAAACAAATTAGCAAGGTCTTATCAGCATATTTGTATTCTTCCTTTACTTGAAGAAGTCTATCTGAATGTTTATTGTATTTCCTTTGTAAATCTCAAATGCAATTGTCCTAATGTGCCAAAAAAGTTTTGTTGGCATGAGTATTGATTATAATTTTTAAAATGCTTATCAAATCCATCAATATTTTGTATAGAAAACCTGTCAAAGAAATATATCTATAATCATTCTTGAATGGATCTTGTCTGCCCTGAAGGGACATAAATTATGAATGAAAATCAGGTGAAATGCCAGTGTCATTATTATAACATCCCTTCGAAAAGATAGCTTGGGGTTTTCCATAAAAATGATTTTTTCCATAATTCAAGGTTCTCAGTCATGATTTGACCACAATATGGATTAAAAGAGAAATAGGATGATAACATCTAAAGGGCGTGATAAATGGTGGATATATGGACCGCATTCTGGATTAATTTTTTTAGATTATGCATCTCATCCTGTGAATTACACATGCAATGTGATTGCGTTGCCCTAGCTAATCATTAAATGATTGTTACAATTTTCTAGTCGAAATTTAAATTAATGTTAAATAGCATTCTCAGATTATGCTACTTTTACCACTAGTTATACATTAAGTTTTTCAGAGTGCACAGGGTGCTACACATATTGCTATATGTACAGATATTCATTCCTAGTTTTAAAAAAATCGACATGGTGGTACATTCATTTAATCATATTATTTAAGTGGTACAATATCAAAAAAATGTTTGAAACTCCTGTGTACTGAGTGAATTGGCTGTTAGACCTGACTGAAAGGTATTGATAAATGTTTTATTAATTAGAGATAAAAAGTTGGCTGTTGATCAACGTTGGTGAGGTACCATATACAAAATAAATAAATGATGCAATGATGCCATTCATGTTGAAACAAAAGGATAGAAAATTTAAAAGTAAAACTGTTGGTAGTTATTATTCTATAACTACTTAGATCAGCTGTACCCAACCTTTTTTTCATATGAGGAACCTATTCACAGACTCACTGTAAAAATAGAGCACAATAATACACTTATCACTTACTTGAGTAAAAATATTTCATTGTCAAAAAATAAAGGAGAAGAGTAGTTAAGCAAGACATGAAGGAAAAATTGTTGATGCAGAAATAAGAAAAAAATAATTTTTCATAAAATTTATTGATTACAAACATATTCTTTGAGAAGCTTTTAATTTCATTTTGCATTTGGGAATATATGACCTTCAATCACTTTTGTTTATTTCCATTTATGACGCTTTTGTCAAGGTGTAAATGTTCGACATATGTAAAATCATTCAAAATGTTAAAACCTTAATTTTTTTTTTGTACATATTACTTTGTATACTATACCATCTTACCCTCTACATTATTATCTCCCTTGTTAAAAGTTCTATTGGAAATACAATGATTTTTATGTTTTAAACAAAACAAAAATTAAGTTTAAAAAATTTTCAATTTATTTACTTCTTAAATTCCTGTTCATATTTTGGGATGTCAATGTATTCTTACAAATTTTTATGAAAAACAAACCGTTTTTATGTATGAAAGAAACAAAATAATATATTTCTACAAACGATGACATTTAAATTATTTAATTATGTCCCAGTGATGTTCAAAGAGATACATTTTTTTATAACCATCTTACACACATACCATTTATCAAATAATATATATATATATATATGAATGCCAAGGAATGAAAACAAAACAAACTTGCATTTGTCTTGTGTTCCAATCCTCTTTGATTGATATAGATTTCTAATGAGCTTGATTGTTTGTTTACTCACTGTAATATATTGAAATAATTTCTTTTTAAATCTATATGGTAATGTATAGACCCGCAATATCATTGACATTGCTTTTCTTGGTGTATTTCTCTAGTGTTTTTAATTCTTTTTGGCATTTTTATTACAATTTGAAAAAATTTCATCAGACAAAGTAAAGTCATTGTCATAATGAAGTCATTGTCAAAGTTAAGATCAGAACACACATTTTGTCTCATCTATAATCATTATTTTTGTGGAGTAATTTAATTTAAACAAAATTTATGTTCAGTGTCATTTGATATCAATTAAACAAGCATTTAATGAATAATTCATATACAACACATGTTTGTCTCTTTTTTTTTGTGTGTGTCTTTTGTGGTTATGTTTTAATTTGCAATTCTTAAGGGAAAAACAAGGAAAGTAAATTCAGTAAGGGAAGCTTGAGGGAAGTCTGTATAGATGGGCATTGATAAGGAAGTGCAAGCGGTGTGATCAAAATTGGCACACCATAGATCTGCAGCATGCATGTGCAGTGCTAGGGGTGTGATCAAATTTGGCACCACGTGCAGTGCTAGGGGTGTGATCAAATTTGGCATCACATGCATGTGCAGTGCTAGAGGTGTGATCAAATTTGGCATCACATACATGTGCAGTGCTAGGGGTGTGATCAAATTTGGCATCACATGCATGTGCAGTGCTAGGGGTGTGATCAAATTTGGCATCACATGCATGTGCAGTGCTAGGGGTGTGATCAAATTTGGCATCACATACATGTGCAGTGCTAGGGGTGTGATCAAATTTGGCATCACATACATGTGCAGTGCTAGGGGTGTGATCAAATTTGGCATCACATGCATGTGCAGTGCAGGGGTGTGATCAAATTTGGCACCACATGCATGTGTAGTGCTAGGGGTGTGATCAAATTTGGCATCACATGCATGTGCAGTGCTAGGGGTGTGATCAAATTTGGCACCACATGCATGTGCAGTGCTAGGGGTGTGATCAAATTTGGCACCACATGCATGTGCAGTGCTAGGGGTGTGATCAAATTTGGCATCACATGCATGTGCAGTGCTAGGGGTGTGATCAAATTTGGCACCACATACATGTGCAGTGCTAGAGGTGTGATCAAATTTGGCACCACATACATGTGCAGTGCTAGGGGTGTGATCAAATTTGGTATCACATACAAGTGCAGCACTAGGGGTTTGATCGTATTTGGCACAACGTAGATGTGCAGTGTGACGAGATGTAGACCTTACAGTCTTGTTTTCATCTAAGTCAAATTCTTACTATTATAATTATAGTCTCTCACTTCTTCACACGGGCTAGTGTAACTGATACAAATACACCAAACACTGAAGATCTTGATATAAGTTAAAATATGAGTTTATTATATACATCGTCAAAACCTGACGGAGTAATGTATACCGTACTAACAATCCAATTCTTTAACAAATCTACGTTCTCCTTTAACGATTCATCAAGCCGAAATTCTCAACACACAAAACAAGCTATGCCGTGAATATCATACAACGGCCATCTATCCACCATACCAGCAACTAAACTAACGCTTCATTTTCCCCTGCCCAAACACATCACAAATATCTCACACAAAAGACACAGCCACACACATAATCTCTACACTAAACATCTTTTACATACCAACCAAACATAACAAAAGTGACTCTCATATCACAACAGTGATTCTCATACCCTTGACGCAGTGCTAGGGGTTTGATCAAATTTGGCACCACATATATGTGCAGCACTAGGGGTGTGATCAAATTTGGCACCACATACATGTGCAGCACTAGGGGTGTGATCAAATTTTGCACCACATACATGTGCAGTGCTAGGGGTGTGATCAAATTTGGCACCACATACATGTGCAGTGCTAGGGGTGTGATCAAATTTTGTACCACATGCATGTGCAGCGCTAGGGGTGTGATCAAATTTGGCACCACATACATGTGCAGTGCTATGGGTGTGATCAAATTTGGCACCACATACATGTGCAGTGCTAGGGGTGTGATCAAATTTGGCACCACATACATGTGCAGTGCTAGGGGTGTGATCAAATTTGGTATCACATACATGTGCAGCGCTAGGGGTGTGATCAAATTTGGTATCACTTACATGTGCAGTGCTAGGAAGGTGCTAGCGGCGTGATCACACTCGGCACCATCTCAAAGCCAATTCCAAAATCAAGACCAGATTTTAAATCTCCTTGAAAACTTGCCAGAAGGGCTGCTTTTACTATTTCATTTTAAATATCATCTTTTTGGCTTTTAACAATTCTTTCAATACTTCCAAAATATTATCAAAATTTCATCATAATAACACCATGCTTTCAGCTGCGTCGCATTTCACTGCGAGTAATTAGATGTTAATCCCTGTCTTTGTACAACGATCTAGATTTTAAATGAATAAAATCTTGCATACAGTGGAGTCCCACAGTGACAGATATATTTTCATCACTATCCCACGTGTCCCACTTTTAGCATAACGACCATCATCATGGCGAAATTAGTTCAAGGAGATTGTACCCACATGACGTCACGCAATAGCTGGCGTGTTTAAAAAATGCCCCCATAGTTCATCTCATTTCTTCACCCACCTCCTCCTCCCCCCCCCCCCCCCCCACGTTTATTTTTTTCGAGTGTTACCGCATTCTTTGTTGATCGACTTTTACCGCATTCTTTGTTGATCGACTTTTACCGCATTCTTTGTTGATCGACTTTTACCGCATTCTTTGTTGATCGACTTTTACCGCATTCTTTGTGAAAAATATAATATTTTGCCGTCTAAAACGCTCTCTATGGCTTCATTTTTCTGATGGCACACCGGAATTGTTATGTTGAATTGGGTAAATATTTTATTTATGTGTATATATATATATGCAATCAACCGAAAATGCTACTCCATCAAAAAAAGTACCTCGCGGGATGGATTGCTCCATCCGCCCCCACTTCATACGCTAATGTGTTGAATAAATTTTGCAAAGACTTGGTTTTACGTCAAATTACTTCACCCCCCAACCCCCCCCCCCCCCAAACCCCCACCAAACCTAAACTGATTGCCCCATCCGCCCCCACTTCATACGCTTATTTGTTTAATAAATTTTGCAAAGACTTGGTTTTACCTCAAATTACCTCCCCCCCCCACCCCCCCCCCCCCAAACCCCCACCAAACCTAAACGGTGAACTCCATCTTATTTTCCTGACGTCACATTTGTACGACTTCCTTGAAACATTCCATATTAAAATTATATAAGAAGCATGTACATCAAAAGCATAAATCCCTCACATAAGTCCGTAATGTGTAATCCCACATGATTAGTAGGCCTGCTAATTAACCAAGCTAATATAATGTTCGCCTCCCCCCCTCCCACACACACTCTCAAGTATTTTACATGAAGATATGAGGAGGAATCATACACTAAATTGTCAGATTCGGAAACCGTGCAGATAATATAGACGTACATACTGAGTGTATCTCGAATACAAATATCAATAAAATTATTTTTTACCTAACTAATCATTTGAAATATTTAGTCCGTGTAGAAAGATGTGCATGTTGGTAAAAACAACATTAACACAACCAAATTGTAGCATGAGGACATTTCAGGGAAGTTATTTTAGGTAGGCCTACTCCATTTATGTGTTCAATAAATTGCATCCTCTGAGTCAAATCTATCATTTTTTGGATGGTTTTGTAAATATTATTTCGAAACGTAACCAATGGCTCAAGCCTCTACAAGCTCACCCAACAGTATATCTTTGTTGAGTCTGTCCATAGTGAAATTTCAATGTTGAATGCAACACCTTAACCTGAAAACTTCCAGTGTACTGCTACCAAGTTGTTGTTGTTGTTTTTTTTTTTTTTGGTTTAATTCAGATATACAGAAAACAGTGGAGGCTGAGCTATTTGGGGGGAGACTCAGGCTGAAATAGCGGTAAGTCTAAGTGAGACAGTAAGACCACCACGGTGATCGCATGCGTCTTTTGTTGTTCTATTATTTAATTTATTGTTGTTATAACTCAAGATAATAAATAAAATTCATTCGAGTTTTTCAGAGGTATGTTAGTCTAGAACAGGGAGATGTATATTTGTTTTTGTTATTTTAATTGTGTTCTTTTTTTTGTTTTAAAATATCAATAAATTATTTCAATAAAAAGTGTCCGTCATACCGCTTTATTTAAGGCTTCAAAATATTTTGGTCTATCGCCACGTAAAACGGAATAATACGAATGGTCAAAAAAGAAGGAAGAATAGTAATCCTGAAACAGCTGTAGCGTTATCAAAGTCAACGCCGATTGGTCAAATCTGTGGCACTTGGCATACTTCCGGAGTCCACCGTCACAGTGCTGCAAGTCGTGCGAACCTTCGGGGCACATACAGTTCGGATCCATGGCGCACGCGGCCCACGTTTGCACCAAAACCTGACGTGTGAACGGCTGGTTCAACAGGGCCACGAAGCCGGCTTCCAGTTCCTGAAAGTTGGCCACAGAACATGGCTGAATGTTGAAGTACTTGAACATCGAGGGGGCCGTGTTGTGCGCCACAGGCCTGACGTAACGGTCCGAGAGGGATAACAGGAGACCCTTATTGGCCAGGTCCGTGAAAAGATCCTCATTTTTGGTGGAGTTGAAGCGCACAGAGGTATCTGCATATATCAGCATGTCCGTCTTGGTCAGATGGGCCTGTAAATAAAGAAAGAACAGTAAACATCTTTATTATTGAACTTCGTAATATAACAAGCTAATGCAATTGTTTTAACAAATAAATTATTTTTTCTACAAAATATCTCTTAGATGCAAAATGAAGAATAAAGGCGGCAGGGGGGAAAAATCGAGAAAGATGAAAGTAAATGGGATGTTAGCATTGTAATTTAATTACGGAATGATGGTTGCGCAAGAGCAAAGGGACATTTAAAAAAAAATCAAACTCTTGGTCTAAATTGTTAAAGAGATAAAGAGTTGCAATCTCAATCGAGCGATAAGCGCTTGTTTCAAACCCTGCGGATAAAATTACAGACTTGATAAACGAGTTAGTATTTTATAAATTATTTAGTATGTCCTTCTTTAATTATTCAACAAACCTAGATAAAAGGGCTTTAAAAGAATTCTTAATATAACATGGCACAATACGTTTGGGGAACTGTCCACAAAAATATATGCGTGAATAAAAAACACTAGTTACCTCAATGATGAGCACTTTCCAGGCAAAACACTTGATGTTTCTTGTGGCGTTGGTGGGCAGAAGATGGACTGGGAACTTCAGGACTTTACAACGGCAGTGTCGCATCAACTGTGTGAATATATATGGATATATGTTGTCATTTGTCTTCATGCTCTCTATTTATAAGCTTATTCATGACACAGGGGCAGATTGCTGCGTTATACCTTTGACGAGTTTAAAACAATGTATGAATAAACGCTAATTAGCCCGCCAAACAATGATGCCCGCAGTGCGTGAACTTACCATCTGCTAAAGTCACTTGACAAAACATGCATTCAATTAGCACACTTTATAAGATTATCGATTAGTGCTCCCCCTCCCCCACCGGTACGCCACTGCCCCTGGACTATATTCATATTCTGATTTCCCACCGCCCTTTACACCGCGTCTTGATTGCACCAACAGTTCACAACCCGTCAAACAATGGCGGTGACACCGGGGTGCGCTTCCCATCTGCTGAAATTACTTTTTTTTTAAAATACACCCGTGTAACGTACTCTATAACAATCCCAATTAATGCTTCCTCTCCCCCATTTCTAAGTTCACAACGACACACTTTTTTTCACGCAGCTGACCTATACTTATATTCTAAAGTCCCAACCCCTTTAATACTGCAGATTTATTACACCATATTTAAGTTGAGAATATTTCTGTAAAAAGAAAAGAAAATATTACGCACCAAACGCACGTGCGGTATTTTTAAGAATCTCGTGCAGCGCAATTATCGGGAATTTTATTTAATAAAATCAGCGCCATCTGGTGGCGTTGGTGACATTGTTGCATGTGTCTTGATAAAATGTGTCATTTGATTATGAAAGCAAATCTTCTTTTTTCTAAATAATTTTTCCACCAAAATATACTTAGAATAGGTCTTATCCAAATGCGTTATTCGTGTAAACATTTGAGAAAAATTAATGCATTTTTTTTCGCACCTTAATTTTTTTTTTTTACATTTAAAAAAAAAAATTGTATTCTAAAATAGCTCTATTAGCTTTCTTCTTGTTGTCTAAACAGACCCTTGTTTATCAAGACAATTTTCCAGTTGTTGGGGCGTGTCAACTATTTGTAGATGAAGAATAGAGACATGTAGGGTTAGCCCGATCATACGAAGGGGAAAATCTCTGAGGTGGGGGGGGGGCTGAAATGGCGCTTCCACCCACATTTCATCAATCAATGATAAAATGATATAGACGACGGCGGCGTAGCTAAACTTTGGGCTTAAACGCTTTTAAAATAAGAGGGCGCCGGGACTGTCAATTTGATCGAAGAGTTGGGGGGGGGAGAAGAAATCTATAAATCTCTAGTAAAAGTGAGGAGGGGGTGGTGGGGAGGCCCGGGAGGGGAGGACCCCTTGATAATATAAGAATGAAAGGATGCATTTTTTCGCATAACTGAATTTAGTTTTTTACCCTTCTACACTTAATCAGAGAGCAACAGAAAAGATTCTGGTGGAAATTTAGGAGTTCCTAGCCCTGGTTGTGTTAATACAAATTCTTTTTTTTTAAAATTAGTTACTAAATAAAACAGTTTTTATAAAAATTCCTTTTATCTTTTCAGTAACGTCACCCAGTGCAGTGAACTAATAGCGTCAGCCACACCCCCCTTCCTTTCCCCCGACTTCCCCCACGGACTCATCAACGACGACGACGACGAAGAAGAAGTTATCCATATTTAGAATGACTTCAGAAAAATTTGTCTGACAGGCACTACCTTCCAGCAGTCTCGGCTCTATCGCACACAGTCCGCTTAACATGGAACGGGAGATTCTTGTTTTTGTAGTCAAGGGATTTTTGCATCAACGTGGATGTCTGCACACAAAAAAATATTTGATTCACTCAGGTTGTGAATTTCTCCTCTGCTCGAAACCTGACCAAACAGTGTGTATCTTGCAAGTAATGGCGAACTTTGGGAGAAAAAAAAGGGGGGCGGGGTCGCAAAGGGGCCGACTAATTCGCTAATATTTAAATATATATATATAGTTAGTAGGTCGAAATCAACGATGACCACTTAAAGTGGTAAAGTTGCTGAGGAGACCTGCCTGTGGGAGTGCCTCGTTGTCTGGCACCCTGTCCTTTCTGAGACTTGTCACATGAAAGTGGATCAACAATTTTGCATGCCCTTGATAGACCATCCACTTTTCACAGACATAGAGAAACGCATGGATCTTAGCCGCCTTGTCGCCCTTCATTTTAGTTTGAATGCTGATACCTCGCCTGGTCCACACATTCTTAGACTAACGCTTCTAGTGGGCGTCAATCTTCTAGGGGAATCAAGTTTCCCATATATTTATGAATATCGAAAAGTCTTTTGGCAATTTTATTTCACCTAAAAGCATATCCTCATGTGTCACCACAACCGGATTAAATTTTTGTATGCATAGCAGGGGACGTCGTAGTCACAGCTGGCCTTATGCTACATTACGCCTAATTTTCGTGCTGAGATGCCCTGCCTCGTCCCCAAGCGCCTGAACGTATCCCTTTGCCCCTTCCCCTCGATGAAATTGCCTGAAAGAAACACTGTCCATAACGCATGGCCCAAATGTTTTTATTTACATTATTTGAATATGTAAGACAGGATATAGGGGGCCTCAGAGCATCACTCTGACCAGGGCCCCCGATGCTGTTAAGCCGGCAGTGGAGGCAAGTTTGGGAGTTCGCCCCGGGTGGAATTTAGTCAAGGTTCGCCACTGAATGCTGGTGCCCAGGGTAAATTTTCCCTGGCCCTGGGTATTACTAATATTTATTAGTAAAGTTGAAGATCAATAATCTTAATGATATATATGAAAGATAGTCTGACAATTTAACCCTCTTAACGTTTGCCTGTGTCCAAACTTACCTGTTCTAATTGTCCTTTATCAAGTCCAAAGTCATAATAGTAAAGTGAAATGTTGTTGAACTTGGGAAAAACATTTTTGTGCAGCGACTGGATCAAGCCTTGACTCTCTGCAAAGTGATTGGCTGAAGCCCCGGTGATGATGGCCAGGTGGCTGCTCTCTAACTGGGCGGTTATATCTTTGTGGGGATTCGAAAAGGCTGTCCGTGATTTCCGGGTGACTGACAGGAGTGAGCCTATGCTCAGTTTTAGGTCATGAGTCAGGGATGTGCCGCACTCTGTGTCGTAACAAGGGACCGCTAAGGTTTGGGGGTGGGGCGCAATATATAGTATATATTAGTACTGAAAGTTTAAAAAGGGCTGCTAATGTCACCACGGGACGACTAAAGTGGGATAAAGAATCAAATAATGTGTGGTAAAATATAAATATAGAATAGTTTAAACCAGTTAAAAGTAGAAAATAATTTGCACATTTCTTAAAATGCAGTACGCAAATAAAGACGTGCAGAAGTGTAGCTGAGCACACTATGCACGCCAAAAAGATTTGAATTGAATGTAAACATAAAAAATGTTTTGTTTTTTTTTAATTTTAAAATTACTTTGTGCATAGTCTTTAAAAAAAAAGTTTTGTTAGTAATTTTATCAGCTACTAGTTAGTAATAACATTTTAATCATTGTATAATTTCGACAAAAATTAATTTTTATTTTTTTAAAATTCCCCACAATCCTTAACCTAACCTCCCATACCCAGCCATTTCCTGCCGTTCACTGAACGAAGCAGACGCGATGTTGACACAAACCAGATGTGACATTTCATGTAACCACAAGACAGACCATCAACTGAGCGAAATAGATGCGTGCGTAAACAAAACAATTGTGCTACAAACTTACCCTATGAGATTTGATAGTAGAAATAAAGTCTTTAATGATATCAAAGATGTCAATGCTAAAAAGTATATAAACGTCACATCTGACCAACTACATTTAAATACATCCGTATTTCCGTATCTTTACATACCATTATGGTGTATATTGATTCTTCCTCCTACAGTGAAACAGTACACATTTCTGTGATTGTATCTTAGTAGCCTTTATGTATAAAATGTAAAAACGTACCAGGTCGCTTTTCGTCTTTACACGCGGTGTGGACTGGGTATTTTGACAATAGATGGTTTTCTGCCAGGTCTGGAGTGGAAAAAAAGGATTTAAAGTAGACATCTTGGATTGTTTAGTCTTGATATTTTCTAATTCATGTCTGGACTTGAAATAGATATTTTAAATAATTAAAATACGAACTTTCATGATAATTACCGGATTTTGTCAAAATTTTGGCCATAATTTGGAGATTTCAAAAACAAATTCATCATCAACTGTATGTTTTGATATAACCATCTCATAATGAAAGTTATGTAACAAACTTGTGTATGTTTTTATTTGTGGTGTAGCGTGGAAGAGTCTTTATGTGCTGTACCGTGTCATACGCAGTTACAACAATGTGTGTATTAGTTGCTAAAATCTTTGAAAAGAATTCCTTTTTTGTTTGTTTCTTTGTTTAATCTGTAATTATCTTCTTTAAAAAATATTTAAAAATCTATTGTTTCATGCCCGTCGTTGGCGCTAAAATTAGGTGCAGAGGTCAGCAGGTTGCCAGTAGAACCGACCTGGGTTAGAGGCTACAACACTAAATAATAACATGAAACAATAATTAACGCCATTTTACCTGCGAATTTCTCGTAGTACAGTTTTGAGAGTAATTCCTCCTGCCTAAAAATGGCAAAGAAATTTGATTTGAAATTAAACTTAATTTAGTATAGATTAGATTTTAAGGAAACACTTATATTGTTCAAAATTTATATTTGTATTTAAAAAAAAACAAACAACAGTATAAGCAACTAATAGGCCCTAGCGAGTTTTTCAAAGGTCTTAAAGCAAGAATTTGAATATAAAAATTGCCTCTAATTCTTGAGATGTATGGGGCCTATATCTTAACTTTCTCCAAGCAGTGCCGGATTAACGGGCATCAAATGAGGCTCGTGCCTAGGGGGCCCCGCGCCTTTTATGGGGCCCCGCGAACAGGTATCCGGTTTTTTTAGGGGAATAGGAGTTGTGGGACTTGAACTGATCTTGATATGATTTGTAATGATATGAATATATCATATTGGTGGTCATCTTGGAAATCTGCAATCCTAACAAGTTTAGGGGCGAGAAGAAAAATTGCCGGTAAACAACACACGTTTTGCTTAGACGGAACTCTTCAGAGAGAGGATTTTGAGATACTTTTGTCTTTTGGTGACATCATGGGTGAAGATAACAAAAAGCACAATGTCAGTTAAATAGGTCAGTGAATAAGCTACCAAATGAAGAAGAGAAAAAAAAAAGCCTTGATGTCGTAAAGTAAGTTGACTGGAACTCAGATTTGATTTGCGGGGGGTGGGGGGGTAATTTTTAAAATAATATACAGTGGGTTGGTAAGCAAGGGCGTAACCTTGAGCAAATGCTCCATGGGAAAATGCTCTCCCCAACACACAAATCGATGTATATCGTGTTTGGCCTAACTACCCCAAAGGGTCTTGAGGGGTGTTCACCTCTTCCCATATTAGGTGTTAAGCCAGAGGTGACATGGCTGATGGCACAAATTATTTAGCCTTGTTTGCTTAATATTTCTAAGATCTGCATGCAGTGGAAAAAAAAGTCAACAAAAATAAATTTTTGGAATTCATCAAATTAAGGTACCTTTCATAACATCGCGTTTTCTTATTGTTTATTGTAAGAATAACAATTAGCTTATCAGGTGTCGTGAAATATTAGTAAGTGCTGGTCAACCTATGCCATGGCCTAGGGCGCAGCAGTCAAAGGGTGTTTGTGTGTGCTTGTGGGGGGGGGGTCATGTATATACAGTAAAAAAAACAACAACAACAACCTACTATTTACTCATTTTCAGAATTATTTTGAATTTTAAAAATGTACATCCTTATTGAATTAAATAAACTGAGAGGTATATTTGCGTAGCCAATCTTTATATGTTAGGCTGTCCTGCACAGTAACGGACAAATAGCATTAACTATTTATCTCACACACTCTCAGCGTAAACCAAGAAAAGTTTTTAAAGAAAAGTTTCAGATTTGGCATTACAATATTGTTTCAAACTGATTTAGTTTCTCATATCGCTTGATTTCTTCATATATATATATATATATATATATTATATATAAATACTGATACTAGGTACCTGCGTCAAACATATGGTTAACACTTTGAAATACGTTTACGTTTACTCAGTGCTGTAAGCAGAAAAAAATTGACAGTGGTGCTCGTTAAATTATAAGTAAGAAGTGGGGCGCTAAGATTTTCATTACTAAACACGAATCATGCACAACTTACGGCTTGTATATGCCACATCCTTTAAACGGTGGTATAATGTAAGTTTAACACGAGATAAAAAAAAAAAAAAACTCCATAAAATTCAATGTCAGAAGAGAATCGATGTAAATCTTTTAGATTTTGTGTCAAGATCAAGTCTCTTTTTTTCGTATGCAATACGCCACCTCGTGAAATCATTTGAGCTAACCAAAGCAGTTAACAAATATTTCATTTCTAAATAGATTTTAACCCACGATATGTCATGACGGCGGTTCATAGACCGTTAGGACTGCTACTGTGGTGAAATTACCGTCGATATAATCATCCTCTATCTGAATTAAAATTATAAATTCCAAGAAAAAGTTTACATTTTTAAACGGGGGTTGGGGGTGGGAGGTGGGGTGGGGTGGATTTAACTTTCGTAAACCAGATTTACTGGCCGTTATTGCAAAATAAGTCAAACATTCCATGAGCTCCTTTTTTGTGTGGGGTGGGGGGAGGGGGCAGAATTAATGTTCTTTGCCTATTGTCTAGAGCAGGGTTCGGGAACCTATGGCTCGCGAGCCAGATGTGTCTCTATTGATGGCTGCATCTGGCTCGCAGACAAATGTTCGATTTAAAAAAAAAAGTCGCATTAATGGTAAGAAATACTCATTATTGATTAACAACAGCATAACAATGTTATTAAAAAGAATTCAGAGACATAATTATTGCATTTTTAGTGTTTAAATTACACAAAATGCACACATTTACTTGAATTTTTAGTTTTAAACATAAAGTATGGCTCTCACAGAATTACTTTTCAAGATATGTGGTGTCCATGGCTCTCTCAGACAAAAAGGTTCCCGACCACTGGTCTAGAGCGTAGAAATGTGTAACTTCACACATGATCGCGAGTATAGGCCTACTTATTTGTGTTAAATGGCGTTTTCCTATTCGCAGTAAAATCATGAGGTTCAGTGAATAAACTTTGAGAAAATGTGAAACAAAAAGACATTTCATGTTGCCAGTCCATCATATTTATCAAAAGTCTCATTAAGATTCAAAGTGACTGTGATATCATTAAGTTATGATGTTCGATTTCGATTGAGGGGGGGGGGATAAATGTCGAATGCTCAGAGGCCTCCGGAGGTCTTAAGCTGGCACTGTATCCGAAATAGGATCTGCTGCATACGACAATAATATTTATTAGTGTTACTTATGAAAAATAACGAAATGACATTGATTATGACATTCAATAACAAACTTTAACCTTTTATTCTATACACAAACTTGTGTTTACTCTTTAAAATTACACTTCTGGACTACTTTGAAAACATTAGTACTAAAGGAAACAAGCCACAATGGAAGTCTAGACCAAGTCTTTTCCTCTTTGGCCAAGTAGAATTAATCACAGGGCACACAACATGAACTGGTTTTCCACTACTCAAGTGGTCGAAAATCTAAAGCCCCTAACATTTGGGCCTCGGTACACAACGCACCTGGGTAAATCTGTATCCTCTTGCCTTGATCGCATGCTGCGCTCCTGCACATCTGTTGATTATGTTTAAAAGAATTTTTTACAAAACCGAAAAGAAAAAAAGAAAAAGCTTGCTAGGAGTTGGACATAAAGCACAAAGCATCCTCCAGAGAGTGGGAAGAGTGAAAAGTTGCGTGTCATTGAAATGTATACAGGCACGGGGATCGAGGCTATACACATGTTATAGTTTTATCTAAAAACGATGCAAACCTTTTTATATTTTAAAAAAATCTACTATTAATACAGTGTTTTATATGAAGGTTTTCGACGTGACGTTAGTGATATGTTTTTACGTGAATATTAACATTATTTAATTGACTGAATTCCGTTTGAATGAAAAATGAAATTTTTAGGACAGGATGATGAATAGCTAAATTAAAATATATAAATAAACTTTAAAGAACTTTTAAAAAAAATACTTTATCAAAGACGCGTTTAAGCGCACTAAAAAGTAGATGAATCATTAAACTTGCCTTAAAATACCCTCTAATCACTGGCATACTGTTGTGCCTTCTAATCAGTGAGACTTTTCATTCCCCTCTGATAAGTGACATTTCTGAATGGTACCATTCACTAATTCAACACCGATCACCAACACATCATGGTCATGGCCAATTGATGGGTTCTCGCCCTTTCGACACTTCCACATGCATAGACAGACTTTAATTTAAACTTAGCAATGTCTGAACTGGTGAAATCATAGGTTTAGATTGTTTTATTTGGAATATTTCGACTGTAAAAATGAACTTTAGAATCTTGTGAAACTTTTTTCTCTCTTCCTTTTATACATATAAAATAAATGAACACAACAAAAAATGGAGGATTAGGAGCCGTTCATAAGTGACATATTGTCTACCCTCCCCTCCCATCGTCACAAAGTTGTCACAGTCTGAGTTCTAATAACAAATCGTCACAAATTTGTCACACAAGCTTGACTTCTAATAACACATCTTCAAAAAACTCGCCACGTCCCTCCCCTAGATGCGTGACGTCATTTATTTAAGGCCCCTTTAATCCATAACTAGGTTCTATATATAGATTACGGAAACCTACCCATCCTAACTTTGTAGAGTTTAGTGTAGACAAAAACCAACGCCATAAACATCAGAAACGAGATGGCGAGAATTTTCACAATCCAGAATAACTGCTTCGGACGCATTCTAATGACGAAATGTGAAAATAAAGACAAAGAAATGATGAAATGATGGAGTTCTTGTAAAGTTTATCATGTCAGCCCAGCAACGCTGGTCAACTGCATCAGCACTTTATAGTACGATCGTTTCAATTAAAATAATATATAGATATAGTTAATATATATCTAAACATTAATAAGTTATGTTTCGCTCAAATATTTAGACTTAAATGTTAAGATTTGACTCTCGCCAGTGATCACCTTTCATTTAGGTCATGTAAACATTCTTGTAGTACAAACATATAGGCTATAGGCTGGGCCTACATTTTAAGGATCACATTTTAAGAAACGTTTAAAAAAATAAAAATGTATAGCATTCCCAAACTCTTCTTTTTCTAAAGCTGCGATTTTTACAAGCAAAGATTTCTTTCATTTGATTTGACCAGATCTCATCCAGTCATTGCACCACAAAACTTCCTACCTTAATTAATGTCAGACCTCCCAACCAGGTGTGTGATAAATAATGTAGCGACACAGTTTGCCAGGCAGACACACCCGAGAACTGATTTGAATAGAAGTCTATCCCAATTTTTCCCTCGCACCGTTGACCTGGGTAGAGTATAATAGTGTAGGAATTTTTTTTTTTTTTTTTGTACACTCAGATAACTTGTTAAAAAGCCGACCCAATGCATTCAAAACTGGTTTTTATAATGTAGCGACACCGTTTGCCAGGCAGACACACCCGAGAACTGATTTGAATAGAAGTCTATCCCAATTTTTCCCTCGCACCGTTGACCTGGGTAGAGTATAATAGTGTAGGAATTTTTTTTTTTTTTTTTGTACACGCAGATAACTTGTTAAGAAGCCGACCCAATGCATTCAACACTGGTTTTAGTTGCTAGCGTTAACAAGGGTTCTCAAACAGTTTTCTTTTTAAAGCATGACTACATCGATTGATTAGCTTCACAAATGTTATTCATGGTAACGTTTAGACCACACTATGTCTTACCGTCACATGTGTGCATTCATTTCATTTATACGACGTTTTTAAGCGGGTCTGTTTTAATAGGGCCATTTTTTTAATGTTTAAACAAAAAAACCTAAAAAGTTTGCAGTAGGCCTGAACAAATTAATATCATATTAAGTTTGTAAAAGACCGTTGTCTTGTGTTTGTAAAAAGACCTGTTGTCTTGTGTTTGTAAAAGACCTGCTGTTTTGGGTTTATAAAAGATCTGCTGTATTTGGTTTGTAAAAGACCTGCTGTCTTGGGTTTGTAAAAGACCTGCTGTCTTGGGTTTGTAAAAGACCTTCTGTCTTGGGTTTGTAAAAGACCTGCTGTCTTGGTTTTGTAAAAGACCTGCTGACTTGGGTTTGTAAAAGATCTGCTGTCTTGGGTAAAAATAAACAAATATCACGTGGTCCAAACAATGCAGTTGGGTTCGATTAAAAAACAAATTAAGATACAACATTGAGACGGGGCGTTGAGAAGATCAAAAAGAAATTTTTAAAATTTCAAATAAATTCCTGGACATTTGTATAAATGTCGAAGTTTAGCGATCTGTATATGATATATGTGACAACGCCATCAACGTCCTTTGCATTGGTGCAGAAGACGGCCTTAAAAGAGATTAGGGAACCGTAGCTAATAAACAAGGGTGCAGTAGTGTTTGAAGTACGGCGATGGCCTTTGGGGTAGGGTAATGGATTCAAAAGGTTTGTGGTGAAGTAGCAAAACTACTGAACGAGGAGAGTTACCGGTGGATATTTAGAAAAGAGTTAACATTTTTAAAAATTTAATGAAAAAAATAAATCAGTCTTAATCTCTGGTCTGACGTTTTGAATGGGAAACACGTTCAACTGGTGTACGCCTCGAGACCTTTACTAGGGCACAGGCTAATGCAGACGGCAATCTTAGAGGAAGTCAATGCTGTCAAATAAATGTGGATTGAATGTGTTATGTGTATGCCACAATCCCTGGATTATTATTATTATTAGTATTATTATTATACGTGGTTTTAGATAGCGTGGTACCCCAGCCTAGGGCTAGGCTCACCACGCTGTAGGCCTACATACAATTTAACAAACATAATCAAGAAAAAAACGTTTTTCAATAACTTTAGATAAAAATGGTAAGTTAGATACAGGTCTATAATTTTTTTAATTATTTTCATCCAGACCGGGCTTCTTAAGCAATGGTTTGATGACAGCTGACTTACAAATAGGGGGAAAAGTGCCAGAAGACAAGCTTTCATTGACTACATGGGTAATCGTTGGGAGCAAATGATCTAACGACTCAACCAACAGTGGGGTAGGGATTGGGGTCCAAAGAGCATGACGTAGGTTTAGACTTTAAAATAACACTTTTGACCTCTTGTTCTGAAACCGGTTGAAAAACTTCAAAATGTGAACTAACATAGCAGGCGGCAATCTATATATCCCGTCCTTTAAACAATATGCCTACAGACAGTCGTACACCCTAACTGCCGGCCTTTCAACAATAGACATATAGACAGTCCTACACCCTACCTGCCGGCTTTCAAACCATAAGCATACAGACAGTCCTACACTATACCCGTGGCTCTTTATTGATTAATATAATACTCGCCTTCGAAAAAATTTCAACATTTTTCCCCGAGTTCAGATGTCACGCATAACGCTCACTACTTGACAGCGTTTTTTGGTTCTCTCAGTACTATTAATATAAAAATATTTAGTTGGGGCAGGTTGTGAAAAGGAAGCAGCCACACCAGAAGCAAAATATATGCAAGAGATCCTTTTTTTAAAGATCAATAAATTAATAAATACATTAACTACAAACGGATTTGAATTATACGCGACTATGCCCTGAGAAATGAAACCAGATCCATTAGAACGTATATAGTCAAGAGTCACACAATAGCTTAAGGCCACAAAGCGACAGATGTAACCTGTGAATTCAATTACATATATCAACAATGGAAGCCTTCCAACATTTAAGGGGCTTCAACATTAAGATAAAAATCATTTTAAAAAAAAAATCATATGATTATGCGTTCATTATATTAGAGCCCAATGTGGTGATATTTACAGAGCTGTCGTGACGCACTGCAAGCCCTGCGGCTGCAAGGGGTGGGGGCTCTAATATTCAAAGGGGGCCCCAGTTGTGATGTGGAATTTTTAAAATGAAAATACTTTAAATTTTACTGATTACTACTGCTTAATAATAAATTTAAAAAACGAATAAAAAGGGGGGTAGGGAATTTAAAATTTGCGCCACAGCTCATAGTAAATATTTACAAAAGCACCAGAAAGCATTGCTGTTTGTGTGTTAAATTATTTATTTTACTACTGGGCTTAAGACTGGGTTTAAAAAAGAGGGCAGTCATATAACTGCGGCTGCAGGGGGCCTCGAATATTTAAGGGGTCCAAATATTCCCAGCCTATAGAGAAATCTGGCAGTGCTTACATGTGAGAAGGGCTGAAAGGCTACGCCAGCAAAAAATAATATATATTTTTTTTTAATAATAATAAAAAAAAAAAGAGAATGCATTACAAAAAAAATATGCATTTCCGTTTGGATTTAATGTTATGTACACGATTTATAATTTCTTAAGAAGCGGTTAAGCAAATATTTAAAATTCTGTCAAAAGCCACTTTCATATTTCCTTCAAATTCCCCCTTCAAAACTACATGCTATTTTTTTAACTGCATACCCAAATACGCCACAAATACAAAGCAAACACAAGTAATCTCCACACCAAAACAGGCAACCATTGAACAAATCATACTTCATTCATGTTCACTTTGGAAAACAGGAAAACCTGAGTTATGAGGGTTGTGGGGTGGGGCTGAAAATTTGACAGAATGTGTTGTCGCTGGCAACGAGTCTATGTGCCAAAGGTCGGTTTGATATGTTGACAGGAAGGGGGTCAATTAGCCATCCAAATATTTTGCCTTAACCACAGGAACAAAGGCGAAGTTAATACTTAATATAAAGGATTTAAAAAAGACAAAAAGGTTCATGCTGGCAGTGGTCCTGGTGAGGATTTTATTTAAAAACAAATAGTGGAAATAAACAGAATATCTTGGATCTAAATATCTCATTAGAATACATGTGGTTATATCATGGCTACCAATGCTGTCATCCTCATCTCATAAAGACAATAGTGTGTAGATATGATAAACAAATGATGACCAATGGAAACATCAAATAAAGTTTAATATCTTGGATCTGACCTGTGTGCAAAATGCCCTGAGTTAATTATTTAATACTCATCTCCGTGGCAAGTAAATTTGATAAAAAGTAAACAAAGATCACAACTTAAGTAAATTTGATAAAAAGTAAACAAAGATCACAATTTAAGTACATTTGATAAAAAAATAAACAAAGATGACAACTTAAGTCCATTTAATAAAGAGTAAATAATTTCTCACTGAAAAAGTGCCTGGGGGCACAACAATCATCCTAATGCCTATTGTTGAGCTACGGTATCTCATTCTCCCAATAAATACGCACATGGAAAAATTATATCACAATAATAAATGAAGACGAAAAAATTGCCATACAGTCATACGAAAAAGTAATTTATTATAAGATTTAAATAATTGAAAACATTAATGACTATAACGGCTGCTGATCTATACTGTCACCCTATAATGGCTGCTGATCTTTACTGTCACATTGTAACGGCTGCTGATCTATATTGTCAAACATTCTTAGATTTATTGGCTCTCAAGTTTTCCTTTTCATCTAAGAAATCAAAATAATTTACTTTGTTGCTTCGTTTGATGGCGTAATACTTTTGGCTAAACGAAAAGCTGGAGTAATTTTCCTGGAATAACTTAAGCATAATTAAGTTCATGGTCGACTGGTCGAACCTGTGGCATTTGGCATATTTCCTCACATTATAATCACAGTGGTGCATGTTCAGTGTCCCTTCAGGACACATGCAGTTTGGATCGAGGGCGCATGCGGCCCATGTCTCCACGATGAGGTCACGAATGAAAGGTTGGTTTTGAAATGCCAAGAAATTTGCCTCCACTTCTTGGAACTGTGCAACAGAGCACGGTTCTATCTGGAAGTATTGGAACATCTGGAGGGCTGTGTTGTGGGCGACGGGGCGGAAGAAGCGATCTGGTAGTCCCCCAAGTAGACCTTTGTTCATGACATCATTGAATAGATCATCGTTTTCCGGTGATGTGAAACGGACTGATGCGTCTGCCCAAATCAAAATGTCAGTCTTGGGTAGGTGAGCCTATGGGGTAAAAGTTATGTGATCATTTAAAAAATAGACTAATAGATTTTAAACATGTAAAAAAATATGGTATTGGTGCTCTAATCTATGTTGTTGTTATTCCCTCATATTCATATCAAAAGATATAAATGACAATAACAAATATTTTTCTTAAAAGAGAGGATCTTGAATAAAAGACATATTTGAAACAAATGATGTTGAATTTCTAGGATTAGGAGAATGCATAAATAAACTGAAAATTATGTTGGGATTTATTTGTGAGACACATTTATGATTACAAGGACAAATGGTCCATAAACATCAGAGAGCTACCTGCTATATCAAACAT